CCCTGTGCCACACCAGTGCCCTGGCACAAGGTACATGAGTGGCCTGGGCACAGGGCTGTCCCCAGGGGGGGCTCAGAGCTGCTGCTGTGGCCCAGCAGTGCCCTGGCACAAGGTACATGAGTGGCCTGGGCACAGGGCTGTCCCCAGGGGGGGCTCAGAGCTGCTGCTGTGGCCCAGCAGTGCCCTGGCACAAGGTACATGAGTGGCCTGGGCACAGGGCTGTCCCCAGGGGGGGCTCAGAGCTGCTGCTGTGGCCCAGCAGTGCCCTGGCACAAGGTACATGAGTGGCCTGGGCACAGGGCTGTCCCCAGGGGGGGCTCAGAGCTGCTGCTGTGGCCCAGCAGTGCCCTGGCACAAGGTACATGAGTGGCCTGGGCACAGGGCTGTCCCCAGGGTGGGCTCAGAGCCGCTGCTGCCCGCGGTGCTGAGCGCTCTGCCCTCCCCTCTGGCAGATAAAGCTGCTGGAGGCCGAGGAGGCTCGCCTGAAACACGACGTGCAGGACGCCAAGGACCAGAACGAGCTGCTGGAGTTCAGGATCCTGGAGCTGGAGGTGAGCAGGGTGGCAGCCCCAGCCCGGGCAGGTGCTCTGCAGGGACAGGGGCTCCTGCCAGAGGAGAGCCACACACACCAGGGGCACGGGCAGGGCTGCTGGGGGTGCTGGCAGGAGGCTGGAACGGGATGAGCTTTAGGGGCCCTTCCAACGCAGAGCATCCCCCGGTGCCGTGCTGTGACACACCGAGGGGGTAACCCAGGCATTACTGTCCTTCCAGGAGAGGGAGAGGAGGTCCCCTGCCATCAACTTCCACCACGGCCCCTTCACGGAGGGGAAGAGCCCTCTGCAGGTGTACTGCGAGGCCGAAGGTGTAACAGTAAGGGATGCTCCTTTCCCGTCCTCCTCTCCCTGAGCAACACCAGGTGCTCTGTGCTGACTCCTGCTTCTCCATTTCTCTCTTGCCAGGACATTGTAGTAGCAGAGCTGATGAAAAAGTTGGACATTTTAGGGGATAACGCCGTAAGTGTATGTTCCTTTAATAAATTGTGCATGCTTTGGGGAGTACCTGTCGTGCTGTGGAGTGAGCAAAGCTGCCTGGTTTGGTGCTGCACAGCCTGTCCTGCCCTGCTTAAGGCCACGAGCAAAGCATTTTCTGGCATTTGAAGGTTTTGCTACCAGCTGAAGAGTGAAACGCAGGGGCTCGGTGTCACCATAGTGCTTCTGCTGTTCCTGTTATTTGGGGAATAATGTTGGTGTTCGGTGCTTTCTGGCCACTGGTCACACATGGTTTCTCGATTTGCCTGCTCTGCATTTGCTCTGCTTTTGCATTTCAGCAGCTGTGTGCTTTGAGTTTCTCTAATACCCCATTAACCCTTGATAGTAACTGGGATATTAAGCGAGAAGTCAACACAGCAGCGTGAAAAGAAGCAAATGATAAGAAACTTGCAAGTGTTTCTCCTTCAGCAGGTGGCAGTGAGTAACTGCACACACAGCTGTGCACATGGAAGGCACACACGGGCTGTGTCCCTGTGCTCTCCTCTGTCAGCACAGCCCCAGGGCTGTGAGGGGCCCAGGAGAGCAGAGCCCCTCTCCAGCCTGAGCTCTCAGAGCCCCCAGCCCCCCCAGGACCCTCCTGGGGACCCCACCCAGCCCTGGGGCTGCAGAAGGGTCCCCTCTGTTCCCACAGCTCTGCCCCTGGGCTGCCCCAGCTCTCCCAGGTAAAACACCCCCCAGGACCATGGCACAACCTGGCACAGCCAGAACTGTAAATACCTGAGGCTGTGAGGCCCTGGCACAGGTGCCCAGAGCAGCCCCTGGGTCCCTGGCAGTGCCCAAGGCCAGGCTGGACATTGGGGCTGGAGCAGCTGGGACAGGGGAAGGTGTCCCTGCCATGGCTGGGTGGGATGGGGGGGATTTGGGGTCCCTTCCAGCCCAGACCATGCCAGGATTCCCTGATGCAGTCCCTGCAGGACAGCACTGCCACGTCCCAGCCTGCAGCACCCTGCCCAGCACCTCCCCTGACTGACTCAGGGTCCCCACACAAGCGGGACCCAGGGCCCTTCTCCTGCTGCACCTCTGGTCACACAGAAGCTTGGGGTGAAATGCACAGCCCAGTCCCTGTACTTTGATTTATTTTTTTGAGAAAGCAACGGAAGATGGATGGAATAGCCAGATCTCAATAAATGCCTCCCAAAATCATCACTTGGCTGCACAAAGTGAGGATGGTGCTTGGGATGATCACTGCATCTCTTCTCCCCGTGGCTCTTTGTGCTGAGCTTGATCTTGTCCTGTGCCTGTGTGTGTTTATTCCCTGTTGGGTGCAGATAGATCCAGTGTCCCTTTTCTTTTTGGTAAATACAAGAATTTGGGAAGAATTATGTATGATAAGGATTGGTAATGAATAGTGACAATGGCTTTTACAGTGATTTTGTATTATAGTATTAATTTTCTCTGCCTCAGTTTATTGTTCCTCAGAAATATTTAATTTCAGATGTGTTTGAACAGCAGTGGCCAAGTAGCAGGTTAGTACCAGGAGCCTGGGATTTGTTGTAATTGTGCTCTGCTTTTGGTGCAGAATCTGACCAACGAAGAGCAGGTGGTCATCATCCAGGCCAGGACTGTCCTCACGCTGGCTGAAAAGGTAACAGCACCTCTTTGTGCCTGAGAGCATCCCTGCTGAGGGAGGGGACAGCTGTCCCCAGAGCTGTGGAGCTGCAGCTGGGGCTGGGCTGGGCTGTGTCCCAGCTCGGGACAGGGCAGCAGAGCAGGCAGAGTGTGAAATGTTACTGAGCTCACCAAGCCGGGTCAGGGGAAGGGACAGCCTTTGGAACTGGGCTTTTCTCCATCTGCAGCAGACAGAAAACCAGCTCAGTGCTGCAGTTAATTCTGCTGTGTAGCTTGTGCTGTGAGGGCTGGCAGTGCCCAGGTGCCAGGGCAGGCTGGGCTCAGGCTGGGCTCTGCTCTCTGCTCCTCAGTGGCTCCAGCAGATCGAGGTGACAGAGTCTGCCCTGCAGCAGAAGATGCTGGACCTGGAGAACGAGAAGGTACCGGGGAGGGCCAGGGAGGGCTCAGGGCCCTGGGGCTGGTCACTGACAGCCCCTTGCTTGGTCCCCAGGAGCTGTTCAGCAAGCAGAAGGGCTACCTGGACGATGAGCTGGACTTCAGGAAGCAGTCCCTGGACCAGGCTCACAAGGTGAGGGTTTCCAGTGGTGGCTGAGTTAGGACAGCTGGATTAGCTCACTAATCCATGTGTGCTGTGAGGAAACTCTGCCTCGGGCAGTGCTGCTGTGGAGTGTCCCCAGGGCTGCATGGCATGAGAGCTCAGCAAATCCTCTCCCTCAGCTAGCCACAACTTCCTCATGAACAGAATTCCTGGGTTCCAGAGGCCCTTGCAGGGTTAGGACATGAATGCTGACTTACTCAGCATGACTTTAGATTCAGACAAAGTTTCAGTAAAGGACCAATAAGGAAATCAGGTTTTCAGTAATTTGTCTTACATTTTAAAAAAAGATATTTTGGCCTAGGCAAATCCAAGGATTTTGGATTACAGTCTCCGTAACCACAGCAGCTGGAAGTATAAATTTGAAATGAAACTGCTTTTAAGTCAGGTTCAGCATTAGCTGACCCTATGGCATTTCACCCATCTTTGCAGCCAGCAGCTGTCTTGTTTCCATCAATGAGAGAAAGGTTATATATATATATATATATATCCACAAAAGGCATAAAGCTTCCTCTCAGTTTATCTCATTTTTCCAGTTGTACATAAACCTAGAGCTCAGTTACACTTTCTGAGCAGCAATGAGTATTTATGCCTCTGTTTCTCTATTCCTCTGTTTATGCATCCTGTTGTCTACTTGTGTCTTGGACCATTTGGGGGAGCTTTTGCTCCATACATTTTCTGTCCTGTGGGTGATTTTTAGGACTGATTTTGCGGAATTCTGAGCTGTATCTTGGAAACCTTGGGAAGCACACAAGCCCCCTGAGCTGTGGTCTGGGCCCTGGAACACCCCTCAGTGGAATTTCCCTGCCCAGGGGATGGAACAGGATGGCCTGTAAGGGCCAGGCTGGGGCTCTGTGTTTCCATCTGCTCTGTCAGTTTGTGTGTGCTCACGGGCAGCCCTGAGTGCAGAGTGTGCACAGGCACGGGGGGCTGAGGGTTATTTACATTTTCCTGTGTTTTCTGAAGGCACCACACATGTCCCAGGCACAGCTTTGCTCCAGGGCACAAATGCAGCACGAAAGCAGCAAAGGAAGCTTTGTTCTGCCCTGGAATTGGAGTGGAAAAAGCTCCTTTGCTTTATAAAATTCACTTCATTTCCACGTTTCCTTTGTGCCCCTGGAGATGAGGAGCAGCTAATTGTGATCCCCCTGGGGCAGAGCCAGCATGATTAGCAGGCAGAAGCACTGACTGCAGGGTCACCAGTTCTCACCAGTTCTCACCAGTTCTCACCAGTTCTCACCAGTTCTCACCAGTTCTCATCAGTTCTCACCAGTTCTCACCAGTTCTCATCAGTTCTCACCAGTTCTCACCAGTTCTCATCAGTTCTCACCAGTTCTCACCAGTTCTCATCAGTTCTCACCAGTTCTCACCAGTTCTCACCAGTTCTCACCAGTTCAGCAGCTGCTGTTCTGCTGGGAGCATTCTGCTCCCCTGGCTCTGCTGGGACCCAAACACCAGCAGCAGCCTCAGCTGTGGTTTTGAATTGAGCTGAATGACCCCAGCAGAGCCAGTGGGGATTTAAAGGCTGTGTGGATGTGGCACCTGGGGACAGGGGTTAGTGATGGCCTTGGCACTGCTGGGGGACTTTGAGGGCTTTTCCAGCCTCAACAATTCCATGATTCTGTTGCAGTGGGGTTCTCTTGAGGCCATGGAAAGCTTTGCAAGATGTCACCAGCTCAGGGAGGGGTGTGCAGAGGAGCCACCAGCTGCTGCCTTTTCTCCTGCTCTGGATCAAACTGGAATAAATTTCAGCTCGCTCTGGGCTTGCCTGGGGGAACAGCCTTTATCCTGAGTTCCAGGAGGGAGCCAGGCTCAGTGGCCAGGGCAGCGTGGCCAGTCCATTCCTGCATTCCATTCCTCTCCATCTCGGTGAGCCCAGAGGAGCAGAGCTACAGGACAGGGACATTTCCTGGGCACAAACCCCCTTGGAGCTGCCAGCTCTGCCACAGGAGGGGCTGGGAATGTCTTCCCCTGAGGCATTTTCCACTGGGTGCTACAAAATGCTGCACACACACGGCAGGGAGTTGTTCCTTCTGGCAGGAGCATGGACTGGTGCTGCTGCAGGATAGCTGGGAAAGGGCAGCTGAAAAATACATGTCCAAAACATCTGTCACTCACAAAATGAGTCTTTTATGAACCTCTTTCCTTTCTCCCTCTTCCTTTTTACATTTTTCCTTCTCCCTTTTCCCTCTCCCTTCTTCCTTTCCCCCTTCCTTTAGTTTTTTTCCTTTTCCCTCCTCTCCCCACGGCCACCTCCCATCCCCAGGAAGGAGAAGGTGACTCCCCCGTGTTTGTGGGGCAGCTAAGCTGGGCCCAGAGGCTGTCCCGGTTCCCGTGCTGCTGGAGCCCCATGGGATGAAGGCAGCCTGCAGGTTTTTCCCTCTGGATGGATTTTCCTTGCTGTGCTGTGGGGGAGGCTCAGCCCTCCACTGCTCCCGTTGCCTTTCAGGGTTGGATGTTCAGTTCCTCACAAACTCCTCACCCAACCAGGGACAAGGTCGAGCTGACAGATTTATATTGTTTTTGATTAGCAAATTCTGGAATTAGAAGCCATGCTCTATGATGCCCTGCAGCAAGAAGCTGGAGCCAAAATTTCCGAACTTCTTTCAGAAGAGGAGAAGGAGAAGCTGAAGAGCGCGGTGGAGCAATGGAAGCGGCAGGTGATGAGTGAGCTCCGCGAGAGGGACGCACAAATCCTGCGGGAGAGGATGGAGCTCATTCAGCACGCACAGCAGGTGGGTGTGGGGCAGGGCCTGGCAGCACCAGCCTCTCCTGGAGCTGTCCCAAGCCGGGACAGGGGCTTTGGATGTCCCTGCACACGGGCATCGTGCCTTTCCTGGCTTTGTCACACACGGGGACAGTCACAGAGGTCTCACCTACAGCTTAATGCCCGATTTATCCTTGGTAGAAGCACAGCACATACAATGTATATCCCCCAAGCTAATGCATCTTCTGGGTACATCTGTATTTGGTTGGTTAATAAATATTTTTTTATTTGAAATCTGACAGAGAATTAAAGAGCTAGAAGAAAGAATTGAAGGCCAAAAAAGACAAATAAAAGAGTTAGAGGAAAAGGTAAGGTGATGCAGATGAACAGCTGCTGTGTGTGCACGTGACCATTCTCCATCTCACCTGGGCCAAGGAAACAACCTTAGAGACAGCTCGTGTGTGTAGTGCTGTGAGACAGGGGGACAGCTCCAGGAAAAGAGTTTCCATTTGCACCAGTCCCTCTGAGGAGGGGAGGTGAACTGGTTAAACTGGGTTGAATGGAGTCCTTCCTTCCTGCTGCCCTTGGGTGCAGGACTGGGCAGGGGCAGAGCCGAGGGCTCAGGCAGCAGAGCTCTGGGGAAGGAGCTGGGGGTTTTGCTCCCTCCTTCCCTCCCCTGTCAGCCCCTGGACATGAGAGCATGGAGCAGCTTTTCCCAGGAACCAGGGGCTCTGCTCTCCTCCCTCAGCTGTGGCTGCTGCTGTGGAGCTGTCACAGCCCAAAGTGCTCAGAGTGTCCCACCCCAGAGTGCCCTGACCCTAAACCTGACCCTGACCCTGACCCTGACCCTGACCCTAAACCTGACCCTGACCCTGACCCTAATCCTGACCCTGACCCTGACCCTAACCCTGACCCTGACCCTAACCCTGACCCTAACCCCTAAACCCTGACCCTAATCCTGACCCTAACCCTAACCCTGACCCTAAACCTGACCCTGACCCTGACCCTGACCCTAACCCTGACCCCTAAACCCTGACCCTAAACCTGACCCTAATCCTGACCCTGACCCTGACCCTAACCCTGACCCTAATCCTGACCCTAACCCTAACCCTAAACCCTGACCCTTCAGGGGGATGGCCACGCTCGGGTGCAGCAGGGCTGAGCTGGAGCAGCACCTGAGACAGCCCAGACCCCAGCAGGGCTGGGTGCAGGGGTTTGGAGGTGTCAGGAGAACTCAGCTGATGTTTCCCCCCGTTTCCCCTGAGCCCTGGCTGAGGCTGGCTGGGCTCAGAGGGGCAGGGGATCCCTGGCACCAGCCCAAGGGACACCAGAGCTCTCGTGAGCCAAGCTGAGCCCTGAGCACTCAGACTTCACTTCACACTCCATATTTCTTCTCACCTGAGAGTTCTGTTGCACTCTGTCTGTAACCACAGCTTATTTCTCAGTTAAACACACTGTAAACTCTTAATCTCTTTCTTCTCTTCCATTTTTTCCTCTCTTCTCTCCCCTTTTCAGTTTTTATTTTTGTTTTTATTTTTCTCTTTAGCTTTCATTCTTTGGTCATAGTTCTTCAGGCCACATGCACAAGGTAAGCCCTTGGGTCTCCTCTGCTCTCTCCTCCTCTCCTCATAAAGCATCAGAACCTTCCTTTTGCTGTATCAGCAGGACTGAAGGGTCTCTTGGGCATCCCAGAGAATGCCTAAATGGAAATCTCCAAATCCTTTTAAAAAAAGTGAAACCTGGACACCAGCAGGCAAAAACTTGCCAAACAGAATTTCCTTCTTTAGAGGAGGAAAAAATAAGACAAGGAAACATTAAGCAGGCTTAAAAGCAAGGAAACCTCTATCAAGGCAGGGAAAACAGCCAGTGTGGGGTGATTCCTCTGGCTGCATCAGGGGTTCCTCAGCTGGAGGCCCATGGAAATCCTCCCTGCACATCTAGAGAGCCTGTCCTGCCCCCAGGACAGCAGCCAGGTGGGTTTGGGGGAACGTGGCATTTCTTAGGGTGTGTTCCTCCAGGCATTGTGCCATAGGGCCCCAGGGACTCCCTGAATCCCCTTTTCCCATGTAAATAAATTGCCATATTTCTGTGTGTGCTGCCAGAAATGACCACAGCATGGATGGCCTGGAGGGAAGCACTACCCAGTAACAACATAAATGGAATAGATCACAAACCCTTTTTTATCAGTGTACATTTCAGCAGATAATTATGAACAGGAGCTCACAGAAGTTTTGTGAATGTTATTTTTGCCCAGGTGGGCTTTTCTTTGATTCCCGTTTCTCTCTTGTTTCAGCCCCCTGAGGCCACTGCAGCTGCTCCTGCTGTTCTTCCCGGAGGGACAGCCCTGCTTCCCAAGCCCCACACGGAGACTTTGTCCTTTCCACACCCCCAGATGTGTCTCACCCTCTGCTGCTGGCCATGGGAGGCGCAGGCTGCGGCACCTGGGGGCTGTGTGAGCCCCGAAATCCCCCCGGGGGGATTGCAGAGGACAGAACTGAGCCAGCAGGGCAGGGCAGGAGCTCTGCTCCTCCTGTCCTGGAGCTGGCCAGGCTCTGGCAGGAGCACACCACTGATTCAGATACGCTGAATTGATTCCCATTCCCTGCTAAGCAGGTGGCAAATTGCTTCTGTGCAGAAGTGCCCGTGTCCTGTTCGTATGCCACACGTGTTTGTTACCCACAGCTCTTCAAAAATCTGTCCTGAAAGAAGATTGTAGGAGGTGTTCCAGAGGAGCAGCTCGTGAAAAGATGAATATGAATGAAAATAGTGAAAATGAATGAAAATGAAGTGGTTTGTTCCAAGGTGTTTCTTCGTTGCACAGGGTATGTCCCGTGCTTTGTTGAATATCCCACAAGCCCAGTTTTAGGAAAAACCTTAAAGCAACATTCAGGAAATTCAAGCTGTACTTTTTTTTTTTAAATGTCAGTAAACCATGACGAGAAAATTGATGCAATAATTTATAATTGGCCGTCCCTGAACAACGACAAAAGGCTTAACACTGTCCCAGCAAAACGTTCAACCTGGAAAAGAGTGAACTAAAGCAGATTATCCCTGATCCACATGCACTGGGCTGGGAGAGGCAGCAAGAGGGAGCAGAAGTTGTCACCTGGAAAATGTCCTCACCTCGGGGAAGGGGAGCACAAGTCCCACAGAGCCCGGGAGGCTGGCACAGGAACCAGGAAGGAAAAAAATCCTCTAGGAAAACAGGTGAAGAGGGGAAAATCCAGGAGAAATTCCAGAGTGTGACTGACCCCGTGGGATCTCAGCCAGGCACAGCAATGTGGGGCCAGGCACGAGGAACCAGGAGTGAGATGCTGCTGGCAGCCAAGGTCCCGTTCCCCAGGAGCACAGGGCAGGAAGGGATCCGAGCTCTGGGCAGGTAAGATGGGCTGCTCACTGGAAACCCCTTTATCCTGGGATTCTGTGAGCTCTGGAACTCCCTCACCTGCTGGTCCCTCTCACTTGGGTTAAAATACTTCAGGGGGTAACAAAGGAAATACTGAATTTGGTATTGAAATTACCAGAGTCTTGATGTAAACTTTAATTATTGCTGTTTTACTGCAGTAATTTAGGTGTTACATTTCAGAGGGATACAGTAACAAATGCTGGCTTTATTTTGAGCAGCATTTATTTTATTTTGTTTATTTATTTTATTTATTTATTTTGTGTGAGCACTCAGGCACTCTGGGAATGATTTCCTCTGCAGGGGCACTAATGAGCTCCAGCAGTAAAATGCTAATTGGCGAGTCTTTGCTGTGCAGGGTGACCCCAGACATCCTTGTTCAAAGTGAGGTGTGGGAGAGATTCAGGCCTTCAAGGAGACTGCCACTGAGCAAAGGCATCCCTGGGAAGGCACAGGGGATAAGGAGCTCTCACTCCCTTTTAGTGAGCTGTAAATGCTGCAGGTTTCTCTCCCGTGCAGAGCAGGGTTGGGCTCAGCAGTAATGAGGAGATTTCCAGAGGGTTAATACTTGTCAATTTGTATAAAAGCGTGGGGTGTCTCCTTGCACGGCGTTTCTGCTGCGCTGTCTCAGGGGCTGCTGCAGACTGAAATGCAGGGAAATGACAATGTCAGCCTGAATTTGTGGCTGAGGCAGGATGAGATGGAGGCCCTGGGGCAGGAGTGCCTGTCTGGCTGCTGCTGGACGAGGCTGCAGCCAGCTCTGAGCTCGCTCATCCCCCTGCTCAGCCCAGACATCTCTGGCTCTGCAGGAGCTGCTCCTTCACGGTTTTGCCAAATCCCAGGGGAGAACACTTGGACACAGAGCAGCTGGGGTTTTCCTTCTAAGCAAAACATCTGGTTCATTAGAGCAGGAGCTTTTGGTTGTGCTTCCTGGGCAGGGTGTGGGACCAGCCTTTCATTTATCCTCTCTACAAGTGAAGAACTCCCACTGCTGCGTTGCTGCAGGGGTATCACACAGCACAGAATCCCAGAGTGGTTTGGGTTGGGAGGGACATTCAAGGTCATCCCACTCCACCCCTGCCATGGGCAGGGACACCTCCCAGTATCCCAGCTCGCTCCAAGTCCCATCCAGCCTTCCCTCAGATCATTTTTATGGGTGTTCCTATTTCTGTGGGAAGTAGAGAAGAGCTTTTTTGGAGTGTGAATTTGTGCAGCAGCAGCAGCAATTTGGTGTCCTGTGTGCTTCCCCCTCAAGACCACAGTGCCTTCCATCCTCAGCTTGCTCTCAGAAAGAAAACTCCACTGGGACTGGCAGGGTGAAAGCCTGCTCCACCAAGCTGCTTTTAAAGATAATCATTCATTTCTCCTTTCATTCCCCAAAGCACTCCTGGGCAGAGCAGCTTCAGTCCTCATCACAGCTGAAGGGTTCCCCTCCTTAATTTGGGTCTTGCTGAGCTCTTGCAAATAATGACAGGAATTTTTGTAGTTTACCAAACCCAGTGTTAGCCTGAAGAATGACTCAGTTGGAAAATCTATCATAAAGTTAGCTTTTTTAAAGATTGCATTCTGTTTGTAAATTAACGTTTGTGCAAATGGCCCCTGCCGAGGAGGGGGTTGGGGTGCCCAGTGATATTTCTGCAGCTCCAGGTCAGCAGAAATCCCAGAGAAAGCTCCCCAGGAAAGGAGAACCTGTCCAAGTCACTGAGGCTGCGCTGGCCTGATGCAGATGTGCTGCAGCAGATGGAAATGCTGTTCTGTCAATGGCTTTTTGTGAAGACGATCACCAGGGGGGCTCTTTGCTCCTTGTTATAAACGAGGATGCTGTGAACATCCCCGGGTACAGCAAATCGGGGCTGTCACTGCCGGAGGGGACTGTGAAATCCTCACATCCTCAAATCCAAGCCACAATTCTCCCCTTCCCACACACACCTGGAGAATGGGAACAGCTGGAAATTCATCAAGAGCCGGGTTCTGACAGGGCTCTGTGCGGCTGTTCCCAAAAGCTGCTGTGGAGAGGTGGGGCAGGCACGAGCAGGGTGTTCAGCAGGGTGTTCAGCAGGGTGTTCAGCAGGGTGTTCCTGCAGGGTGTTCAGCAGGGTGTTCAGCAGGGTGTTCAGCAGGGTGTTCCTGCAGGGTGGTCAGCAGGGTGTTCAGCAGGGTGTTCAGCAGGGTGTTCCTGCAGGGTGTTCAGCAGGGTGTTCAGCAGGGTGTTCCTGCAGGGTGTTCCTGCAGGGTGTTCAGCAGGGTGTTCAGCAGGGTGTTCAGCAGGGTGTTCCTGCAGGGTGTTCAGCAGGGTGTTCAGCAGGATGGGGTGGTGCTGTCACCTGCAGCCCCGTGTTCCTGTGGGGTGGGACCAGGGCCAGTGTCCCCCCGATGTCACCCCCATGCCTTTCCTGGGAGCAGCTGCAGGGGAGGCTGAGGTGTCAGCCTGCATTTGCTGCCTCACCTGTTCTGGTGACCTGCTCCCCCTGAACTGTCCCTGATCTGTCCCTGATCTGTCCCTGATCTGTCCCTGATCTGTCCCTGAACCGTCCCTGAACCATCCCTGAACCATCCCTGATCTGTCCCTGAACCATCCCTGAACCATCCCTGAACCATCCCTGAACCATCCCTGAACTGTCCCTGAAGTGTCCCTGAACTCTCCCTGAACTGTGTGAATCCAGTGGGAGAGGAAGGGGAAAAGGCAAAGAAGCCAAGTCTACCCCACTGTTCTGTACATGGACATGAAATTCCACCTGTTTACTCTCAACATGGGGCATGAGTGGGAAGATGAGGGATTCTGCATTCCCACCTCGTGGGGGCTTCTGGGGTCCCAGGTGAGGATGGGATCCAGCCCCCGAGGCCACGGTGTATGGTCAAGGGCTCTCTGATCCGCTCTTTCCCATCACATGGATCCCAGGGAATGATTCATTGTCCCACTGACACCTCCCAGGCAGCAGCCATGTCCCCAAGGTGTGTCCCAAGCTGGATTCCAGGCTGGATTCAAGTTTAGCAGGTGATGAAGAACCTCAGGCTCATCCAGGCAGAATCTTTGGGGAGAGAGGGCTGAGCTGCCTTAGAGACACCTCCAGCATGGCTTCACCTGCTGGTAACTCTGCTTAAGGGTCAGTGAGGCATTAACTTGGCCAGTCCAAGAGCTGTCTGGTGGTTTTGGTGCCTTTTCCTTACTCCCCAAACATGTCCCACCTTTTCCCAGCAGCCCAGGATGCTGTCAGGTGCCTCCCTCAGGCACATGATCCCTGGTGATATATCTAAATAAATACATTTATATATAAATAAGCATGTAAATATCTAGATAAAGATGAATGTGTAAATATGCATCTCCTTCCTTGGAGCCTTGGTAAGAGGCTGTGCTGATGAAGGTGATCGTTCTTCATCAACTGTCGTGACAGGACAAGGAGTAATGGGTTCAAACTGAAACAGGGGAAGTTTAGCTCAGACATTTGGAAGAAATTCTCCCTGGCAGGGTGGGCAGGCCCTGGCACAGGTGCCCAGAGCAGCTGGGGCTGCCCCTGGATCCCTGGCAGTGCCCAAGGCCAGGCTGGACATTGGGGCTGGAGCAGCTGGGACAGGGGAAGGTGTCCCTGCCATGGCTGGGTGGGATGGGGGGGATTTGGGGTCAAACCATTCTGGGGTTTTGTGATTCCTTTCTCACATGCAATTTGATCTGTAATCTTTGAAGAATTACATTCCTGCATTGTTCTAGTCAGCAAAGCCGCTGTTTTCCACAAGCCGTGAATGCTCAGATGCACAGATATTAGCGCTCCATCAGTTACCGCGGTTGAAAAGCTTTGTCCCATTTTTACAGCTTTCTGGAACAATTGCCTGTCCCTGGCGGGGTGAGGGAGGGGTGACTGTGCCTTTTGCCCGAGCTCTCCGGAGCTCCAGATGTGACAGAGCTCCGGGCTCTGACGGGCAGGGCTCTAAAGCAAAGCGGCATCTGGAAAATCCCGTGTTAGCCACCCCCGCTTCCTCTTCTGCCCTTCACCTCTCGGTCTCTTCCCAGGAGCTGCTGCTGAAATTCCTGGGGTGCTGCCTGTGAGCAGCATCACCGTGTCCGGGGGCACAGAGGAGCCCCCTGAGCTGCAGGACCTGGCCCGGGGAAGGTGTCCCTGCCCAGGGCTGGAGATGAGCTCCAGGGTCCTTCCAGCCCAAGGCAGTCCGGGACTCTCTGCCCTGCCGGGCGGGCTGCGAAGGGTTAATCCTTTCCCCGCACAGCGCAGGGGCTGCGCCAGGAGGGGATTCAGCTGCTGCCGAGGCCAGGGGGAGAGGAGAGATGGAACAGGGCACGGAGAAGGGACGGGGAATGAGGGATTCTCCTTTCCAGCCGTGGGCTGGGCTGTGCTGCTTCCCAAGTGCGCTCCCCAGGAATTCCCTTCCCCCTGGCGCTGCAGGGTGGGATTTGGGATTTGGGATTTGGGATTTGGGATTTGGGATTTGGGATTTGGGAACAGGGACACGGGGCCAAGGAGGGCACACGGGAAGGCTCAGGGCCACAGCCCCCTCCCACCCACCGCATCCTTATCTCCTCCCCTGAGCCGGGCGAATTCGGCTCCGGGGTTATTAACTCATCCCCGCAGGGTCTGTCAGATGTTTTAAATTCGTCATTCATCGCTATCATCACCATATTCTGATTGTAACCCAAGACTGCTAGGGGAGTATTGCTTAAAGGAAAAGGAATGATTTGATGTGTGGCACAGCCTAGAGAAAACAGTATATTTAACATTTAATAAATTATCTCTTTCAGGGAAAACACAGGAACTGGCTAAGCCTACTCCAACTTAGACTTAACTGAGAGCTGCTTAACACAACCCAGCACAACCTATGGAATGGAAATGTTGTAGATTTTGGGATTAAAAATCCTATGTGGAGGAGAGAACCACAGCTGTAGTTAAACCTCGTGTTTATTTTATTCTGTAGGTACCTGTGCCGCTGGAGTTGATAAAGCTGTGAAGAAAACCCCTTGATACTGAAATTCTTCAACCTCTTCCTGCACTTGTACATCGACCATGTTTAAACCCAGCACAGGGAGCTCAGCTGCAGAAACAGAAGGAAGTGAGTTGGTCAGACAAGTGTGATGTTTGAACTGAAGGGATACGATGTTTTAAGGCCAAGGTTGTGCATTTTGATATCAACATATGATTCTATCATGGAATTGATTTAACAAGCTCCGATTCTACCAGATACCAATACCAGTGCTGGGATTCTGGGATGAGCTGCATCTTTGCTTCTGCACTTCACGCCTAAAACGGGTCTACTTTGAGTTCTACTGAAATACTTCATGTCTTAAAATCCTGTATTTCCTGGAAGCCCTGCAGGTGGTGGTTGATGTGACAAAGGGCATGTTAGGAAGTGGCTTGAGTCCATCTCATGGCTCTTCATTCAGGACATGCTCTTGCCTGGTGTGTTCGTGTGTCTCAAATATCAGTTCTGCTTTCTGATTAACTTCTTTAATCCTGGGGGTTTTAAGTACAAAGCAAATTGTACAGGACAGGTCTGTGTGTAAATAAGGGATTGTGTTTATCTCTGTGTCACTATAAATATGTATGAAGTTTTGTACATAGGAAAGAAAAAATGGCTCAAAGAATGTTTTCAGAACTGTTTCCTCCGTTTAAATGCACAGACAGGAGATTGCCATCCATGTGCTCCCTCGCTCTCTGGGAAGGATCCTGCTGGTCCCACTCGCTGCCCACATCCCACCGGGCTCTGTGAGGAGTTTTGGTGACCCAGAGCCAGGCTGGGCTCAGCTCTGTGAGGAGTTTTGGCGGCCCAGGGCCAGGCTGGGCTCTGTGAGGAGTTTTGGTGGCCCAGGGCCAGGCTGGGCTCAGCTCTGTGAGGAGTTTTGGTGGCCCAGGGCCAGGCTGGGCTCAGCTCTGTGAGGAGTTTTGGTGGCCCAGGGCCAGGCTGGGCTCTGTGAGGAGTTTTGGCGGCCCAGGGCCAGGCTGGGCTCAGCTCTGTGAGGAGTTTTGGTGGCCCAGGACCAGGCTGGGCTCAGCTCTGTGAGGAGTTTTGGTGGCCCAGGGCCAGGCTGGGCTCTGTGAGGAGTTTGTTCCTGGCCTGGGCCAGGCTGAGCTGTGTTGTGTCTCGGCTGCTGCCTGCTCGCTGTGGCCCCTGTGCATCTCTCACAAACACCATCCCCAGTGCCCAGGACCGTGGTGGGGCAGTGCCAGGGGCCTGGGCAGCTCCTGCAGCCCCTCCGTGCCCGGTGTGGGGTGCAGCAGCCGGAGCAGCGGTGCCACGGGCCGCCCCTCGCCCCAAACCCCCCGCCGTGGGTGTGCCAGGCGTGGATGGACTTCTTGTTCAAGCTGCTGGAGGATGTGGCTGTAATTTCCAGTATTCTGCTCTACAATATCTGTAGCCTTCAGTGATTCCTTGAGTGCCTTACATGGCTTGTGGACAGAATTCCTGACCAGGAGGAGAAACGCCCCTGGACCGACGCCGGCTCCTTCGCAGCCTGTGCCCCTCGCCGGCAGCGCGGGCGCGCACAGGAACAGATTTAGCTTCGACTCAGGAAATCGTCGTGTGAATATGTGTATTAAACCCTGTATGATTTGCTGTACAGTTTATAAAAAGGGACTATTGTAAACTTATGCAAAACGTAATGCAGAGAAAAGGGAGGGTTTTGGTCCACTGGCTGGCGTGCCGTGACCCGTGTCCTCTAATCCTACTCCAGAGTCATATCCAAAATACAGAACGTTGGGTTCAGTGCTGCGACAGCAACCGACAGCCCAAAGACAGGGGCTGGAGCGATCGAGTAGAGAATTTTACAGATATTTTTGTATTGTGATTCCTATGATATATATCGAGAGACTTTCTATTCCTTTGTAAAATACATAAATTATTGTCAACTTTTAATTAAAAAGATCCGTTTTAAACTTTCAAATGAGATGAACTGGTTTGGGGTTGAGGGGATGGGGAAGCTGGGCTGTGACACCGGCCACCCTGGGGGACCGGGAGATGCCCGGGAGGGCTCGGGAGGGGGGCGTTCACCCCGGGGCAGCCGAGCCCGCGCTGTCTCTGCCATCACAGACGCAGGGAGATGTCACCTCCCGCTCGTACGTGGGGACAGACACGGGTGGATGGGCACCGGGAGGGGCGGGGGGTCCTTGGGCGGCTCTTAACGCGGCGCTGGGCTCTCCTCGGCAGGGCGAGCGGCTGCGGGAGCGGAGCGCGGGGTGCCGGGCCCATGTCGGGGCGGCAGCAGGAGCCTCTGCCCGCCTGCTTTGCGGGGCTGGGTGCGGGCAGCCCGCGGCCGCGGCAGAAGCGCGGCGGGATGTTCTGCAGCGTGGAGGATGCCTTCGACAACAAGACGCTGAACTTCGCCTCGCTCGCTGCCTCCGGAACGGCAACACCCGTCGGGGGGCAGCGCCGCGACAGCCACCCGGGACCGAGCCCCGACGCGGCACCGAGCCCCGAACCCGGCCCCGGCCCGGCCGCGCTGCCCCCGAGAGCCGCCGCTCCGGCCGCGCTGCCCGACGGCTGCCGGCAGGTAACGGGACCGAACCGGGCCGGGGGCGCCCTGGGAGCCGAGAGCGCGCCGGGAGGGCGAGCGGGGACCCGTCCGGCTGTGTCCGGTCCGGTCCGGTCCGGCTGTGCTCCTGCCGGCCGCTCCGCTCCGGTCCGGCTGTGCTCCTGCCGGCCGGTCCGCTCCGCTCCGGTCCGGTCCGGCTGTGCTCCTGCCGGCCGCTCCGCTCCGCTCCGGTCCGGTCCGGTCCGCTCCTGCCGGCCGCTCCGCTCCGCTCCGGTCCGCTCCGGTCCGCTCCGCTCCGCTCCGCTCCGGTCCGGTCCCGTCCCTGCGGCCCGCGGCGGGAGCGGGCGCTGGGGCCATTCGTGCGGCGCGGGTTTGAGCGGGGCAGGGGCGGAGGCACCGAGCCCTTTTCCCCCGGGGCTCACGGCTGTGAGCGGCCCCGGCGGGCGGGAGCGCGCGGCGGGACGAGCGGGGGCGCGCACGCAGGCGGGCACGCGCGGCGGGCACGCGCGGCAGCCCCGCACGGCCGCGGCGGAGGCGGCGGCGATGTCGCAGCCGGGCAGGAGGAGCGGGACCCGCGGCACGGTGAGGGCTCCCCGCGGGGTGGGGGCTGCGGGGCCCAGGGGGCTGCGAGCCGGGGCCGGGCCGGGGGTCGCTCCGGCCGGCGGAGATGGAGCGGGACGGGCGGTCTCGGACAGCCGGGGAGCGCCGCGGGCTCCCGCCCGCCCCGGGGTGCTCTCCCGGCGGTGCCGGTACCCCCGGTGCCGGTGGCCGCCGTGCCGAGCCCCTGCCCCGTCCGCCCCGCTCCGCTCCTTTGTTGCGCGGCCCGGCCGGAGCCCGGCGGTCCCGGCGCTTTGTCCCGGGGCCGCCCCGGGGGGACAAAGGCGGGCGGGCTCCGGAGTGCCCCCGGTTCCCTGTGCCCCGGGCCGGGAGAGGCGCTCCGGGAACGCGTTCAGTGCTGGCTGCGCTCGGCAGAGCGAGAGCATCCCGCGGCCGTGCTCCTGCTCCGCTCCTCAGCCCGGGCTCCCCGGCCGCGCTCCCCGCTGTCCCCGGCGCTGCGCGGGAGGGGATTCCCTTCTCCCGGAGCCAGCGCTTCCCAGCAAGAGTCGGGACAAATCCCTCGATTGCGATGCCTTGTGTTTTGTTTTTTCGCCTTTGGCTGGCTCGTGGCAGAGCTCCCGTGGGGAAAGCCCGGTGGGTGCGGGAGCCGGGGAGCAGCCGCGTTCCTGGGCTGGGGATGAGGGTGAGGATGGGGGTGAGGATGGGGATGGGGTGAAGATGGGCCCCACAAGGGGAGGGGCCGTCAGGCTCTCCCATGGGGCAGCAACACTGAGGTTCCTTTTGATTGACGTTATGGGATAAGGGGAAACAATAAAGACAATAAATCCTTGACAGTTCAAAAAAAAATAGGAATGCAATTCTTGAATTTTCCTTTTATATGCCAGCGATGCTCTTTTAAACAAGCTCCAAAGTGTTTCTAGGCAGTTTTGCCTCAGGTCCCGGCTCTTTGTGGTGCAGCATCTCCAGGCTGTGCTGCCACGTGCTCGGGCGTCCCTCGGCTGGTTTGTGCCCAGGCTGTGCTCTTTGTGTTGTCCATTTCAGCACTGGAAATAATTTTTCAACACCAGAGAGCAGGAAATGAATCCTCTGAAATTAGGCTGCAGCTCCACACAGACATCAGTGCTGCTGCTCTCTAAATTTTCTAGTTAAAGATTCTGGGTGAAGATTTTGCAAATCTGAAAACTGTGCCAGTGTCTGGCTTTGAAGTGAGGCAAGTCCTCGAGGCTTTATCTGCCCCTGACTGTGAGAAGGAATGAATGGCAATAAATTACCAGGTTAATGAGATGCACTGAGCTGAGGGAGGAGGCAGGAGCACAGCTCAGCCCTCGGAGCTGGGGGTGCCCAGGGCTGCCAGGCTCAGCGATGAACCCCTGGCTCCTGCCACCCTTCATGGAGCTCTGCTCCTCCAAATGACAATTTCATATGGTTCCCATTGCAAATGCAGTTGTAGGATAGTCTGGATAGTCACTGAACTTGAGTGATTGGAGGGAAAATATTAAATCTAGATTTACTTAAAGATTGGAATGAGTAAAGTGGAATCCAAACAAAAGAATCTTTAAAAAACTGTGACTTTTTTCCCATTAGAGTGAGAAGCTTCTAATCAAAGGAGGAAAAATCGTCAACGATGATCAGTCATTTTATGCAGACGTTTATGTGGAGGATGGCTTAATAAAGTAAGTTAAAAATTTATATTTGCTAATGTAATTTCTTAGAATGATACAGTACCTTGGGATTTGAACAATGTTCCTTCCTTCCCATCATTTTTTTGTTGAAAATCTTTTAGAAAAATAAAGGCAGCATTTTAGAGTAGTGTCAAGAAAGAGCTAGACTGGGGTAGTTCCCAGCTGGAAAGAATTGCAAAGCACTGGCAGCCTGGGGAGGAGCAACAGAGGTTGGTTTGGCTTGCTCTCCTCAGAGTTATTGCCAGTTAAGAGATGTTGATTTCCTTTCCAGACAGATGGGAGAGAACCTGCTGGTTCCTGCTGGCACCAGGACCATCGATGCCTACGGGCAGCTGGTGATGCCGGGGGGCATCGACGTCCACACGCGGCTGCAGGCGCCCGTCATGGGCATGAGCTCGGCCGATGGATTCTTCCAGGGCACCAAGGCAGCGCTGGCAGGAGGCACCACCATGATCAGTAAGAGGGGACACGTCCCAGCACTCGTTTCCTAGCAAAATACCCCAGGCCTGGAGTCGCTGCAGGGATGTTTATTTACCTTCATAGCACAGAAATGTCCATTTCTGCTGGACAGAGCTAAACAGCACAAAGCTCATTGAAGGTGTTGTGTACTGTGCAGAACCCCCTTCCCTTGCTGCACGTGGATATTAAAAATATGTGTCTGCTCCTGCCTCATCTCATCAGGGAGAAAAACACAGGAACATTTTAACCATCTTTTATTATGTTTTTTACACCTTTGCAAGTGTGGGTTTAACTTTGCAAGTTCTTGGCTTTAAGCACAGGCTCCATTTTTGTGTTAATGTGAAATAATTTTGCTCTCTGTTTTGTTCCTGTTCCATTCCCAAGAACCACTGTGGTATGTGACTGCAGGAGCATTCTCAGCAGTCCTGGCACAGCTCCCCACCGAGCCCAGAGCTGAGAGAAGTGTTGGGCAGTGGGCTCTGCCCGTGGGAAATGCCCCAGAGCAGAGCCAGCCACCGGCAGGGCTGTGCTGGCTGAGGAGAGGATGGCACAGCCGCAGCTTGGGCTTTGCTTGCTGTGTTTGTATCTCCTTGCTGGGGAGAGCTGTTAGCTGTTCTTCCAGCAGCACGGTAGGACGGGTTACGAGCTGTTCCCAGCACAGCAGGCTGTGCTGGGACACGGTGCCAGGTGTGTCCCTCACACAGTGGTGTCCCCACAGTTGAACACATGTGGTGGGACACGGTGCCAGGTGTGTCCCTCATACAGTGGTGTCCCCACAGTTGAACACGTTGGTGGGACACAGTGCCAGGTGTGTCCCTCACACAGTGGTGTCCCCACAGTTGAACACATGTGGTGGGACACGGTGCCAGGTGTGTCCCTCATACAGTGGTGTCCCCACAGTTGAACACGTTGGTGGGACACAGTGCCAGGTGTGTCCCTCACACAGTGGTGTCCCCACAGTTGAACACATGTGGTGGGACACGGTGCCAGGTGTGTCCCTCATACAGTGGTGTCCCCACAGTTGAACACGTTGGTGGGACACAGTGCCAGGTGTGTCCCTCACACAGTGGTGTCCCCACAGTTGAACACGTGTGGTGGGACACGGTGCCAGGTGTGTCCCTCACACAGTGGTGTCCCCACAGTTGAACACGTGTGCCCGGACGTGGGGAGCAGTCTCCTGGCCGCCTACGAGCAGTGGCGCGGCCGCGCCGACAGCCAGGCCTGCTGCGACTACGGGCTGAGCGTGGACATCCCGCGCTGGCACGAGAGCCTGAGGGAGGAGCTGGAGGCCCTGGTCAAGGACAAGGGTAAGGGCAGAGGGACCCCAGCGGGGTTGGGGTCACTGCAGGAGCGGTGACAGCTCCTTCCCGTGGCACCTCCCCACCCCTGGCTGTCCAGGGCAGAGCTGTGGACGGGGTCACCGGCACCAAGTTGCTGCCATGATATCTGGGTCTGTGCCCTCACCTTTGGGCAGTTGGCAGCCTGGTCATGGAAAGGGATGTTGGAAGCTAAAGGAGTAGGGCTGGCCACGCTGACATGGGCTGCTGGATGTACACAAAAAGCATTTCAATAAAAATCAAGAGAGGGTTTAGAGAGGGAAACCCAGCTCTAAGCATTCCATGTTATTCCGTTGTGATTCCATTGTGCCTGTAACTCCTGGGCATCCCGAGGTGTCTGTGGGACATGGCTCTCTGGAAAGCAGGAAACTAGACCACGAGACAGGGATTCATGCATTCATTAATACCTATTGCCATGTTTGGAACTACATTTTCCTTCAGATATGCTAATGCAGAGCTAAATGTCTTCAGTGTAATTTGTAGTCTTGCAAGCAAGGGTTTAATTGGCCAATTACCATAGAAATTCACAGTGAATTTCCTATTAAAATGCAGAGAGTCTGAAGTAATGGAGATGTTCCTTGGAACACTTAGGAAATACAGCTGTAATTTGATCATGGTTTGGTGTTGCTTATTGCCTCTATCCATACGAAATACAGCAGCAATTCAGAGAATCGTGGAATGGTTTGGATTGGAAAGGATCTTATCCCATTCCCTATCTTCCACTTCCTTGACCTTTCCCTGTCCCAGCTGCTCCAGCCCCAATGTCCAGCCTGGCCTTGGGCACTGCCAGGGATCCAGGGGCAGCCCCAGCTGCTCTGGGCACCTGTGCCAGGGCCTGCCCACCCTGCCAGGAACAATTCCTGCCCCAAATCCCATCCAGCCCTGCCCTCTGGCACTGGGAGCCATTCCCTGTGTCCTGTCTGTCCCCCCCTTGTCCCAGATTTGAGGATAAGCCATAGACTGAAGCCACCACTGCAGGAAAACCAGTCTGGGAGTGAGGCAGCTGCGTGTGCATTTGGAGCCAGTCACAGAGGGCACCTAACCCCAAACATGGACCACAAGGGTTTCATTTTTTGGTTCAGGTGCACTATAAAGTAGGGGTTTATTGTCTTTCACAGCTCCCAAGCTTTGTGTGATTGTGGGACATTTCCCACATCAGCCCTTGGCTTTGCTTTGCTTCCAGTGTAACCCTCACCAGCACAACCCCCTGGTTCAAGCACCCCTGCCCAGCCCACACCAGGGCAGTGAGTTCTCTGAGGGACACAGCCACAGGTGTCATTTTCTTTTCTCAAGGTGTGAACTCCTTCCTGGTGTTCATGGCTTACAAGGACAAGCTGCAGTGCACTGATGGCCAGGTAGGACACCGGCATGCAGGGAAAGCCAAGCCTCACACCGAGCCACGTGGGTGTGACGGGGCTGACCTGGGGTCCTGCTGTGTCTTGGCAGATGTACGAGATCTTCTGCATCATCCGGGACCTGGGGGCCATCGCACAAGTGCACGCGGAGAACGGGGACATCATCGAGGAGGTACCGTGTTTGTGTCCACTGAGACCTGGGGTGGCCAGGGCACGTGAGGAGAATCCCTGTCCCTGCCTCTGTCCCTGTCCCATCCCTGTCCCTTCCCTGTCACTGTCCCTGTCCCCGCCCTGCCTGAGGAGCTGGTGCCCCAAAGCTTGGAGGGAACAGGACCCTGTGTAGCAGCATGGCCAGGCAGGATCAGGGTGTCCTGTGGAATCATCAGTGTCCTCATGGATCTTCACATGTGCTTGGGTTCCCAAAAAGCACTTTGGGGGTTCCTGAGGGATCACTGACTGCCTCAAGTGATGCTTTATCCCAATATCTGTCATGTTTAGGAGTTCAGATTACTTGAAAAAATCAGGAGGCTTGAGGCTTTTACAGTAACGTCCGTGAGATTGGCAGTATTTAACTCCACACAGTATCAGCACTTGGGAATTCCTTGGTGTTCCAGCCTCAGTCAGACACACAAGCTAGAGTTAGACTGGCAGTTCCTTTAGCTCACGGTCATGCCAGTGTTCAGTCTGGTGTGGGAGGAAGGCTGAACTGAAAGCCAGATCCAATCCTTCAAATGGGTTTATTTGAACAAACAGGATAGAGGCTAATTCCCACCCCCTGGGATTTTATCTGGAAAGCTGTTTCTCAGCTGGCTGTGGAGCATACCGTGACCCCAGGCAGCTCAGAGCTGCAGCAGTGTTTCTGTAAGCCGCCAGGGTGGTGACACTTGAGCCCTGGGGACACACTTGGAGGAGATCTGTGACAAGAATACAGACAAATAAGCACCCTCTAAGAGCAGGGTCCTTTAAAGGATCCTGTGGGATCTGCTCTGTGGTGTTGGATAACTCCCCTGCATTAGTGCCAGCTGACTGGGAGGTCACTTGGTACAGAACAGCACAGAGGGGACAGGCTTGTGCTGGACACCTGCGTTCAGATGCCACGTGAGTGACCTGGGACATCCAGAGCTCACCTCAGCATCTGTCACCGCGGGTTGCCTTTCCTCCGTGCCACGTGGTGAAGTGCAGAGGGACAGGAGTGCTGGGGAGAGGTGGCACTTGCTGCACCATGGCAGTGTCACATCCCTGTGCCATACCCAGCAGCTCCCACGCAGGAGCATTTCTGCAGCACGGGACAGGTCTGAGGGAGTGTCCCCAGGGTCAGTGGGATGTCCCGGTGGAGTGTCCCATGAGCCCTGCTCGGGTGGGTTCCTGACTTGTCCCCCACCCCTGGGTGGCTCTGGACAGGGTGTGCAGTGTCCCGTGGTGCTCCAGCGGGCTGTGCCCATCGCTGACTGCTCTCTCCTTCCTCCTCATCCCCCCAGGAGCAGAAGAGGCTGCTGGAGCTGGGGATCACGGGGCCGGAGGGGCACGTCCTGAGCCGCCCCGAGGAGGTAACGCCGCCAGCCCTCGCGCCAAGCCCCGGGCGCTCCGTGCAGGGGGCTGGGACACCTGTGTCGTGTTCTTGTGCCCGCAGGTGGAGGCAGAGGCCGTGTTCCGTGCCATCACCATCGCCAGGCAGGCCAACTGCCCCCTCTACGTCACCAAGGTCATGAGCAGGGCTGCCGCAGATGTCCTGGCGCAGGCGAAGAGGAAAGGTAACGCGCTGGGCTAACACCGACCTCCGAACCGGCCGGGAGTCTCATCCTGACCGGGAGGTCTGAGGAGTCCTTGTCTCCCGAGCTCCCCCACACTCGTGGGGCGCTGAGGCTTGTGCTGGTTTCCATGGTAGGGTGTGCCAGAGCTAATTGCTTGGAGCTGGGACGATTGGAAGGGATGTGCTGGAAACTGTGACACTTCCATCTTGGCAGACACAGCTGAGAAAGGGGAATAATCCATTTGTGGTCGTTTGAATGAGAAACAGATGTGGAGCAAGCTCCAAATTCTGGCTGGGGGTGGAGTGGGAAGGGCTGGGATCAATCCTGTTGGGTGCAGGGTGGAAGGGGGAGCAGTCACCGCTTTCCCCGGCCTGGTGGCTGCCAGACAGGCCCAGGTTTGGTTTAAAGGAAGGCGTGACAGCTTGTAGGAAGCTGTGCCTGGCGTAAGGAGAGGACAGACGGATCCAGAACTTGATCTGACAGTGTCTCCCAGTCATCTGAGATAATGTAAAGGATCAGTGAGAGCCCGAGGTGCTGGGAGCGCTGAATGAAGTGGAACTGTCGCGTGTGGTTGTGTGTCTGTGCCCGTGCTCCCCGCTCATGCCCGCGTCGCTCTGCAGGCACCGTGGTGTACGGGGAGCCCATCACCGCCAGCCTGGGCACCGACGGCTCCCACTACTGGAGCAAAAACTGGGCCAAAGCCGCCGCCTTCGTCACGTCCCCCCCCATCAGCCCCGACCCCAGCACGCCCGATCACCTCAGCACTCTGCTGTCCAGGTGGGTCCCGTGGCACACCTGCACCCTGCCCACACCCATTCATGGTGCCCCATGGGCTGCCCAGCAAGGGGGGGCTCTCCCGGCCTGGGGGTGCCCTCTGTGCCCCCCTCCCTGACCCCTGCCCTGTCCTGTCCCCAGCGGGGACCTGCAGGTCACCGGCAGTGCCCACTGCACCTTCAGCACTGCGCAGAAGGCCGTGGGCAAGGACAACTTCACCCTCATCCCCGAGGGCACCAACGGCGTGGAGGAGCGGATGTCCGTGGTGTGGGAGAAGTGTGTGGTAGGTGCTGCAGCCGTGGAGCTGGATGGGAGCACACTGAGCCGTGCCTGTGCTCCAGGCTGTCACAGCCTCCTTAATTCAGACAAGCCACAGGGCTGACGCTGTCTAGACACTGCTGCAGCTTCAGAGAGCTGCTGACGAGAGACTGAGACACACAAATGCCTTCACGGTGTCTTCAAAGGCTGCTGTGCAGGGACTGCCCTCCGCTCTCGCTCACAGTCAGCAGGGAGTCTCTCCAGCACTTTCTCCCAAGGGTGATGAGAGGTTCCTTTCTCCTCACCAGAGGCCTGGGGAGGTGGCTGGGGAGAGGGCGTCCCTCCCCTGGGACATGGCTGTGGCCAGGCCTCCAACTGCCTGGTCACTCCAGGCCCCAGCAGTGGGGACAAGTCTCCGTGTCACCTGAGTGTGTGCCTGGCAGCAGGGCTGTGATCTGAGGGTGGGATCAGTCGGTGTCCCTGCCCCCAGTGCACCCCTCCCTGCCGGCAGCATCCCTGAGGAGCTCTACCCTGCATCCCACAGAGCAGTCCCTGTGCAGACTGCAGGAGCTTGGGAGCCAACCACCCTGAAACCTCCCTTAGGTGGGTTTAGTTCAAAGACAAACAGAACTTTTCTTAGGATGACAAGTGAAGATGATAAATAGCACTGGTTAGGTTCACTTCCAGTCTTTCTTCACTGGGCTGTCCTTAACCCGCTTCAGTGATCCTGAGATGCCTGTGCAGGAGCTGGAGCCAACCAGTGAAGGTCTTGTTTTTCAGAGACTTCAACTTTTGGAGTCCAAGGAAAATAAAACCTGTTTCTCATATCCTTTATCCCACAGGGACAAGGCTCATCCTCACATCCCCCTTGCCCTGTAAGCACAGCCCTGTGGCAGTGCAGACCCTCACCCCACACGGGCACAGGGCTGGCTCCAGCAGCTCCTGCAGTGGGACAGCAGCAGCCCAGCCGTGGGGAGGGGCCGTGTCCCCCTGTGATGTTTCCTCCTGCCCTCCCCAGGTGCCTGGGAAGATGGATGAGAACGATTTTGTAGCAGTGACCAGCACCAACGCTGCCAAGATCTTCAACTGCTACCCCAGGAAGGGGCGCGTGGCTGTGGGCGCCGACGCAGACCTGGTGCTGTGGAACCCCAAGGCTACAAAAATCATCTCAGCAAAAACCCATAATTTGGTAAAATAGATTTCAAATCATTTTCTGGGGCTGGTTTTAGAGTCAGAAGAGATCTGGAAAGCATGTCCTTGGCAAGATCAGATCATTCAGGAGGGGAGGAGATGTTTGTCTGGGTAAAATGATGAAGGACCTTGCATTTGCTTTTAAAAATACTAGGAAAATATCCTTTTATTGCTGTAAAGGGTGGGATTGGTACTGAGTGACCACTCCAAGACAGTCAGCATCTGGTATGGAAATCTTAAGGTCAGTGTATTTGCTGTGGACTAGAAAAATGTAAGTGCTGAAGTACTGAGCTATTGCTAAACTGTAATGTGTATTAGTTAAAGTTTAATATGTATTAAACTATTGCTATAATTTAATATATAACAGTATTAATCTTAACATAATACAGAATTTAAATATTCAATAAAGAATATATAAATAATATAATAATATAAATATAACTTACCAGAAGTATTAAACTATTGCTGTAGTTTAATATGATTGGATTTAAGGTTTACCCCAGGACATTTTCTCCATTGCTTCCCATTGGAATCTTGTTATTTGAAATATGCTATCTTGTTATTATATTTTATATATATAATATATATTTGCATTATATATATTTCTATAATATAGATAATATATTATATATGTATTGTATATGTTATATAGGTATTATTATATGTTATCTTGTTATTATATGTGATCTTGTTATTTGAAATGTGAGAGGTTAGTTAGTTCTGTCTGATGGTGCACAGGGAGCAGTGTTCAAAAGTGGGGTCATTGTTGGCCTCCTCTTAAATCCTGCAGGCACTGAATATCAGGGTTTTCTTTTTCCAGAACGTGGAGTACAACATATTTGAAGGCACTGAGTGCCACGGGGTCCCAACCGTGGTCATAAGTCAGGGAAAAGTTGTCCTTGAAGATGGGAATCTGTGTGTCACCCAGGGCTCAGGTCGCTTCATCCCCAGGAAGACATTCCCTGACTTTGTTTATAAACGGATAAAGGCAAGAAACAGGGTAAGGAGAGTCTTATTTATTTATTACTGTGTTTTGATCACAATCTGTCTGCTTTAGTGTACTGGGGCCATTGTGATGGCAAACCTGCAACAGCAGCAGGGGTATTATTAATGCTGTTTCTTTCTGGGTGTTGTGTAACTGCCTGGCACCTCAATCAAGAATTGTTAGTATTAGAGCTAATGACAGTTTTATTAGCCTATTAAAATGTTACAAAGCAAAAATATGACTTCCAGTAAAAGTTTGGGGGTTTTTTTGTTGTTTTTTTGTTTCTGTTTTTGTTTTTCTTCTGCACTGAGGTGGAGGGAGGAATTCCTCTCCTACCTGTGCTAGGGAAGTTTCTGTTGCTGCATTCCCAGTGTTGTCTCTGCAGCCATTGGAGGGTAAGGGATGTACATCCCGCAGGTACTGGAAATACAGTAAGATAAATCCTCCTGTGTGCTGGCACAGCTTTGCAGAGACACAAAGACACGTAAATATGTAAATGCTTCTTGACAGCTCTGTCCTCCTTCCCTTTTCCCTGTGCTATTGCAGACACTGTAATTGTGCATCCTACACGAAGGCAGAGCAGGAATCAAACCCAAATTAGCTGCAGTGGCAGGAGCCCCGAGTGGTGTGCCTCAGGGTGTCTGGAGGGCAGGATGGGGATGTGCCAGCTCCCTGCACGGTGGGAAGGGGACCCAGAGAAGGTGTAGATGCCCCATCCCTGGAGGTGTCCAAGGCCAGGTTGAAATTCCTTTTAAGAGCATCGATTCCACCCATTCCCAGCACTGCCAAGGCCAGCACTGCCCCGTGTCCCCAGGTGCCACATCCACAGGGCTTTGAAGTCTCTCCAGGGATGGGCACTCCCTGGACAGCTGTGCCGGGGCAGGGCAGCCCTTCCCACGGAGGAATGTTCCGTATCCAGCGTGAGTCTCCCGTGGCACGGCCGCTCCCCCGGCCTGCGGCCCGTCCCTCGCGGTGGCTGACGCTGTGTTCCCCCTGCAGCTGGCCGAGGTTCACGGCGTGCCCCGGGGGATGTACGACGGGCCGGTGCACGAGGTGCCGGCCAGCGTCAGGGCCGTGGCGCCCGGCGCGGCGTCGCGCATCGCGCCCTGCGCCGGCAAAGCCGCGCCCGCGCCCGTGCGCAACCTGCACCAGTCCGGCTTCAGCCTGTCCGGTACGTGGGGCCCAGAGCGGGTGGGCCTGGGCGGGGAGCAATGGAAACTTCATTTCTAATGGGTAATAAAGCAGTTTGTCCAGCGGCAGCAGCCGAGGGACCAAGTGCAGCACAGAAAGCTCTGGAGTGCTCTGCAGTATTTATGTCAACACACAAAGCCTGGCAGAGGCTCTGTTTCCAGGAGCCAGAGCAGGCAGTGATTCAGCACCATTGATTCTACAGAAACCTGCCCAGCAGCTGCCAGGAGCTTGGAAAGCCAATGCTCTGCCCTAAAATCACTTCCATAATGGTTTTTTAGCTGGTTGGTGCAGATGGGTCCCATATTGTTTGACCAGTCCCCACATTTTATTATGCACAAAATGTATTTATAGGAAAGCCATTTATAAATCTTCCAGAAAGAAACAATGAAAAACGAAGTTCAGGCAAGTACAGCCATTGCAAACTGTGCTGTGCTCGTAGAGTGTCCAAAATGACTTATAATGAATTGATCAGTACTTCCTGAGGAAATGTTTTATGGTTGTGGCATTTAAAGCAGTGGGACTGCCCCTCTCTCTGCTCTCCCCCAGGGTCACAGGCAGATGATCACATTGCCCGGCGCACGGCGCAGAAGATCATGGCCCCGCCGGGCGGGAGGTCCAACATCACCTCGCTGTCCTGACGCTGTCCTGGCGCTGTCCTGACGCTGTCCTGGCGCTGTCCTGACGCTCTCCTGGTGCTGTCCTGGTGCTGTCCTGGCGCTGTCCCAGCGCTGTCCCCACACCGGGCGCCGCCGGGTCCTGCGGGAAGGGGCCGGTGGGCTGCTCTCCACGCAGGAGGACGAGCGAGCGGCGCTCGCCAGCTGTGCCAGCCCTTCCCTCGTAGGTAGAAAGTAGAGTGGTCCTTGAGGTAGCTCCCAGTGGGTTCTCTGTCAGTGTTCCTTCGCTAGCTGCTAGGAAAGCCCTTCCTTTCCCCGTGCATGCGGCACCGCCACCTCCCCAGCGCTGCGGGGCCGGCCGGGGCGGACATGAAGGCACATCCAGGCTGGATCACGCTCTTTTCCAGCAGCATCCCCTGCCCGCTCACATCAAAGGGCTTCAGACCGATGAGCACTTCCACGGTTTCCAGTCAGAGCCCTCCGCCCTGGCCGTGCTCCCGGAGCCACCCCAGCCCGTGTGTCCCCTGGCAGTCACAGCTCAGGGGTGGCTGCAGCCCCTGGGGCAGAGGGGTGCTGGCCCTCCACCGGCCACGCTGTGGGCCGGTGTCCTTCTCCCAGCCTTGTTTTTTAAAGATTATTTATACAGTTTTTCAAGAACTGAGTGTGAGTCCAATACCCAATACCAGGGCTCGTTTGGAGGCCAGGTGCATGCGACACACTTTTTTATAGAGATTATTCTAGCCCAGTTATTATATTTAAAGGTGTGCACATAGAGTGAACCTCTGGCTGTAGAGCCATGCATGTACCTCCAGGAATGGCTTTCTGTTCCTGTCTGCTCCTTGCTTGGAATAAACTTGGTTGGAAACCACAAAATGGTGGAAGTGGTTAATCCACCCGAGTCCGTTTTGCTGTTTTCTTCCTTTGAGTTTTTCTGGGTGAGGCTTGTACCATCCCATCCCGACTTGCAGGTTACTGTGCTTCCCTTGGAGGGGGAGAGGTTCATCATGAGCAGTGTGGGCACAGTCCCACCCTTCTCAGCCATGCCCACAGCTCCAGGAGAAGGGGCTGGTTTCCCACGCTGGTTCCAGTGCTGCTGACATGTCATGACAGGTCCATGAGACTCTGATTCCCCTCGGGCACTGCTGGGCTCGTGTCTCCAGCTCTGTCTCAGCCAGGCACGAGAAAGGGAGCAGGGCTTGTGCTGGCACAAGCAGGGATCTGTGAGTGGGAGCTGGAACCACGCATACGGCAGCTCCAGATACACAAATCCATGAATTAGGAATGAACCCACAAATGTAAACCAGGGAGGGATCTAATTTTTTGTTGGTTTTGGTTTTTTGATTTTTTTATTATCTGATATGACCTACATTTCACAGCTTAATGCTGCAGTAATTTCTGCATTGAGCATATGGAAATGTATTTGGATGCTTTACATTTAAACATAATTTCATTTGTTGATTTTCTGATTTTTTTCTGAAATTGCACCAAGGCAATTAACATCTAGTGGAAGGTGTCCCTGCCATGGCAGGGGGTAGAATGAGAAGGTCCCTTCCAACCCGAACTGTTTATGATTCTGTGACCTCTTCCTGAATAGCGCTTAAATTACATCAGCAGGAAATCCATAAGGAATGGGAAAGACAAAAGTTACAGTCTGATGGTGGTGACCTTCCCATCACCCCAACAACCACGGGGTGACAGGGACACCCAACACCCCCAGCTTGTAAACACTTAGCAGAGGAAGTCCCAAGGGCCCTGTGCTGTAAATGTCGTTTTCCCCGCAGTTTGCCTGGTTCGTGCCAGGCCCCCATGGCCAGTGAGGAGCCAGCAGAGACACTGTTCCCTCTCCCACATCACCCAGGTGAGGCGCCTCCATCCTCTGTGCCAGCCCAAGGCTCAAACCCTGCCAGCCCTTCCCTTACAGAGGGAGGGTTTGCATTTATTCCCTCTGTCAGGGAGCTGTCGGAGCCAGCACAGCTGCCCCAGCCTCCTCTCAACGCAGGGATCAGAGCCAGCAGCATCTCTGCAGCTCTCCTGGTGCCAGCAGAGGCTGAGCCGAGCCCCACAGCCGCCTGCTAATGGAGCCAGAGCCTCCAGGAAACGTCCCCCATGGCACCCACACGGTCTGTGGCCCTAATTCCTTTGGACAGCTTTCCTGCAGGCTCTGGGTCAGGGACACTGAGGAGACGCTCCGTGCCCTTGACGGGGGAGCGTCTCTGGCTCCGCAGCACCACGGCTGTGATGGAGGAGCCCCAGGTCCCTGCACTTGTGCCTGGGGTGGGGATGGACTCCTCTGTTCCCTGCAGGGCAGCAGTGCTCCTTAAGAGGCAAAGGAGGTGTCAGACAGGCACTGAACTATGCCTGTGCTTATCCCTGGCTTTCCACGCTCACTGTGTCTTTTTTCTGTATTTTTATTTTGCATGGCTTCCCATTGCCACAGGGTAGGGTCAGATGTGGAATTGGGAAGGAATTGTTCCCTGGGAGGGTGGGGAGGCTCTGGCACAGGTTACCTGTAGAAGCTGCTCCTGGATCCTGGAAGTGTCCAAGGCTAGGCTGGACACTTGCTCCAGCCTGGCCTTGGAGCAGCCTGGAGCAGTGGAAGCTGTCCCTGCCATGGCAGGGTAGAGCAAGCTTTAATGTCCCTTCTCACACAGCCCACTCTGCAGTTCTGTGGTTCTGTGATTTCCCCCACGTCCAGCACCTTGATCAGCAGCAGGATCAATCGCAGCAGGTAAGAAGGACAAAGCAGGTTGATGAGCCCGGGAGGGTCATTCCCTGTTTGTCCCTGGCAAATTCCAGTTCCCACAGTTTAGGCACAGGGCTGGCAGGCACTGAGCTCTCCTGGCTGCTGTGGGTGTTTTAGCCCTCAGCTTCTCCACTGCTGTGTTTCAGGGCTGTGTGTGGGAAGCTGCCCTCACTCTGACCTTCACCTGTCCCCTGTAGAGAACAGCCCAGCCTGGCAGGTGCCCTTGGTGCCCTGGGGACACCCATGGGCACCCAGAATGCTGCCCCAGAGGCATCACAGTGGCGGTGCTGGCTGGGCAGGAGGGACGAGTCCAGGCTCAGACATCCACTCATCTCAGCCTCCACAGCTTCCGGAGCTGCAACCAGCAGCACATTACCAGCAAGATAAATCATTCCTGCACTGAGGGGGATCAAAGAGAAAAAACAGATCCCCTGACACTTGCAGGGGCTGCTTTTATTGAGGTTAAGATACAAAATCCAGGGCTGTGCAGGGAAATACCAAACCCCTGTGAGCCACGGCTGTTGTGCCCTCGCTGTGGCAGCGAGGTCGGGGTCCTGCCCCCATCCCCTGCCACCTCTGCCTCACCCTGGTGCTCCCAGCCCAGCATCTACAGCTCAACACCCTGGAAATGACACCAAATCCTTGGCAATGTTAAAAATACACATTTATTACTCCACATGTGCAATGGCTCCTGACGGTATCTGCAAAAACACAACCTTGTTCTAACTTAAATATTCTGTGATATGGTAAAATTGTCATGCAAGAAAATTACAGGAATGTATTAATATAAAGTACAAAGATATATTTACATATATATGCACTGAAATAATTGTTAAAAATACCCTCCCAAGGCAGCAGGATTTCAGCACTGTCCAGGGTCAAGTCCATATTACTGGTATTTTGCTATTATTTTATTACTCTTAGACTCTTTTTGGCAAGCTCTGGAGTAATAGAGAATTGGCAACAGAAGAAAAATCAGGACCTGACCTGGCATTTGTCTTCTGCACAAAATTCCCAGTGAAGGCTGTGGAATTCAATGCAAAAACTTAAAAATATGCAACTTTGCAAAACCTCATAACACAACAGAGATAAGAAAACAATCTCATGGCAAGTGATTAAAGGAGAATAATTTATAGGTGCTGTAGACTTTTCACAGCAGATAATGGCACACACTGTATAAATCTGTCATACAAAAAAATACAGGTATTTAAATATTTATGTACAGAAAATTCCTGTGTTCTGGCTGTAGTGGAGGTGTAACCCAGAGCTGTTGGTGACACCTTCCAAGCTGGGATGTAGGACCAGGACTCTGTCACAACTTGTCTGTGAGGTTTGCTCAGCAGCAGTAGCCAGGGCTCAGCCACAACAATGGCACCGCCACAGGCACCACAACCCCACCACACCCCCAGACCTTTGACCCCATCCCCAGCCCAGTCTGTGCCAGCAGCCAGGGAACACCCACGGGGGTGGCACAGGGAGGAGAGAGGATCAAACCCACGGGACCCCAGTGTGGATGGGGTGAGCTGGACATGGGACACACTGGCAGGAGTCCCAGAGATGTGTAGGGCCGACAGGACCGAGCTCTGCTCAGCTGGCACTAGCTTGTTGCAGGGACACAGCAGTGGGGACACAAGAGAGGCCCAGAGTGGGGCACAGGGTGGGCAGGAGGCCCCAGAGCACTGAACCCCTTCACAGGGGTTCTGACAATGACACTGAGCTGTTTCCTATCACTTGGCCCTTTCCAATTGCTCTTTTCATGCCATTTCTTCTCCAGGGACTGAGTGCAAACAGCTGACAATGAAACCCTGTCCCCGACGGGCTCTGGTGAGGTTATGACCAAATACTATTTAAGACCAAAACCAAGCACTTCAGTGATGTGTCCACACTGTGTCTCCCACTCAGCACAAGGATCCCACAGCTCTGTGACCGGGTGCTGTTGCCAGGGATTCAGGTTCAATGGTGTGCCCAGCACAGCCCTGGCGCTGCACTGCTGGATTGCAGGGGTGCTGCCCAGGCAGCCAGGACCTGCCCAGAGTGTTCTCCCTGGGAAGCAGCCATTCCCTGGCATCCCCCCAGAAGATCCCCTGGTTTCTGCCAGGCGCCACTGAGCTGTTCTGCACAGTGCACTGAAAAAGAGGGGTGCTGGAGGGGGAACAGATGACTGACAGACAGAGGGTTTGGGCTGAGAATCCTCAGTTTCAGAAGCAAGCCAGCACCTCCCCACACACTAACCCCCACCTCAGAGCCCACTTGTCTCTTGTCCTAAGGAAAGTGATGAAAACATCAATTACACACATCCTGTACCTGCCAACACCTCTCCTGGCCTGAGAGCTTCTGGCTGAATAGAATGCATCTTCATCACTCAGCTATGAGTTTTGACCTTTGGTCAAAAACTCAGTAATGCTCCTCATCATTCCCATGGTCCAAAATTTTGCCGTTACTTAGAGGAAGTTGCTGAATAGTGCAATGGAATTCACTGTGAGACCCTGCCCACACCAGTGCAGTAAATCACCTGTAATTCATAACTCCTGAATAAATAGATGTTTTGACCCTCATCTGCTGCACCAGGATAGAGCTGGTGTTCCAGCTGAGAGATGTGGATGGAGACACAAGGTGAGCACAGAGCCCTGGGGAGAGGAGCAGGCTGCAGTGTGGAGAGCAGGAGCTGCTCAGCACAGCAAAGGTGTGGCCCACCTGCACACAAAGGTGAGCCCTGACAGGTGAGAGAAGGTAACTAGGCCTCCCTGGTACCCAGTAACGAGACTGGAAGTTACTGGGGGCAGAGAGGGCAGGTTCCTCCAGCACAGCTGGGATCAGAGCCAGGGCAGTGCCCTCCTGCAGCTTGGAGAAGGAGCAGGAGGACACACTGAGTTCAGCCCTCGCTCACTGACTGGCCACAGCCCCTGAGCCATCATTAACACAGCTCCTAATGAGGCACGGGGTGTGCAGGACCCAGGGCTGACAGCAGCTATGTGAAAATAACCATGCAACCAGACCCAGAGCTTCAGCTCCCCTCCTCCTGCACACCCTTAAAGACTTCCATGAAAACATGTCTCTGCACAAGTCCAGCCACACATTAATTCCCACATAAAACTGCGGGAGACACGTTCCATGTCCTTGCTTGAGTAAGATAATTTCATACCATTCGCCTCTCTGCTTTATTCAAGGAAACAGAAACCACAACAAAACTGGTCCTGACAGAATCTGATCTGTTACAAACATCTCCCATCCATTTCTGCATTAGGAATACCCAGTAAGGATGCAAACACTGCAGCCTCCCAGTGTCTGGCAGCAAACAGCTGCTGGTTTGACGGTGACTGTGGTCACACCTGGGGCACCAGAGCAGTCGTGTGGCACCGCAGGGCTCAGGTTCAGCCACAGAAACCAAAAACCACTCTGCAGCAGGTTAAACAACTAATATAGTGAAGGCCCCTGCAACAAGAAAGGCAACATCCACAGCTGGAGCAAGGGAAGATTTCCCATCTTATTAAGAAGTTAAGACAGGTATTGGCAAATTATATACAGTACTTGTATTTTACACTGCAAATAAAGTAAATTGAAGGTGAAATACAATATTCCTGTCTTTCACAAACAAGCAGCCTTGCAAAACCACCCACTCTGCCTCCAACAAAACCTCAGCCTGTAATAAACTGTGTCCTCCAAACCTGGGCACATGGAGCCAGACCCTCCAACCCACAGCTCCTCACTGCCTGCAGCGGCCACATCAAGGAAGAAAATATTTTAAATTCATTCTGTGTCTCAAATACTCATTAACCATTACCCAGCCCATGAAGAATCCATGGAGTGCACAAAAAACATTTATTTGCCTTGAATGGGGAAAGGACCTGACGGGTGACACGAGGACAAGGTGCCTGGGACATCCTTGTGCTGCAGGAGCCAGGAGCTGAGGGCTCCCAGGAGCTGGGGGCTCCCAGGAGCTGGGGGCTCCCAGGAGCTGGGGGCTCCCAGGAGCTGGTGCCAGAGAGGCCCCGGGCTGTGCTCTGCTCTGCACAGGAGCTGCCCATGCCCAGGGCAGCAGCTGTCAACAGGGAATGCCAAAGTCTGCTCACACCACCTCTCTGGCCTTCCTCCCTGCTCCTCGTCTCTCCCCGCGGCACCCAAGGACGGCTTCTTTCCCTGTCCTCTCACCGCATTAAAAACGTGTAGATCAGCAACCTGACATTAAAACAGAAAGACTAAATAAGTTGATCTCCTCCCCTGACAAGTTGCATAGGCCGTATCTTCCCCCGACAGGCAGCCACAGAGCCGGGCTGGCGATGCACGGCCCGGAGGACAGTCCTGAGGGAGCTGGGCTGGCTCCAGCCCTCCAGGGGAGCCGGGCTGACGGTGCACGGCCCGGAGGACAGTCCCGAGGGAGCTGGGCTGACGGTGCATGGCCTGGAGGACAGTCCCGAGGGCACCGGGCTGGCTCCAGCCCTCCAGGGGACCTGGGCTGACGGTGCATGGCCCGGAGGACAGTCCCGAGGGCACCGGGCTGGCTCCAGCCCTCCAGGGGACCTGGGCTGACGGTGCACGGCCCGGAGGACAGTCCCGAGGGCACCGGGCTGGCTCCAGCCCTCCGGGGAGCTGCCGGTGCTGTCCTGAGGGCAGCGGGGCGGGCTCGGTGCTCAGCGCAGCCGAGGGCAGGTGAGGGCGGGCGGCCTGGCCCCGCGGCCCCGGCCTAGCTGCTGCCCGAGGAGCACACGGAGCTGCACATGTGCAGGGGCTCGGCCTCGGCCTCCTCCGTGGTCTCGGAGGCAGACGCGGACTCGCTCGGCTGCTCCTGGCTCTTCTTTAGCCTGCGGGAGCGGAGGAAGCAGGAGTTACACAGCTGCTCCCCAAGCTCTGAAATGCCCCAAAGCAGCCTGCGAGGCTTCAGCCCTCCCAGACCTCGGCCACGAGTGGCCACAGCACAGGCAGGCTCCTGCCATCCTCCTCCTCCTCCACAGAGCCTGCCTCACGCTCTGCCTGCGGCCCAAACAGCCCCAATCCTGCGGGAGCAGTGCCTTTAATCCAACCCTTTCACTGCCTGCCTATTCCCACCAGGGACTTTTCCAGCCTTAATGTTCACATGAATCTATTCTAAGTGTTACAGACCTCCACAGTCATTGAGTCCGATCTTCCTCACCTTCATTTCCCAAAATATCATCTGCTAAAAGCAGGATGGGCGAGGAGGTGCTATGGGGGAATGGGGGCAGTGTGACACGTGTGTTAAATCCCAGAAGCCTCTTTACAGCATATTTTATTTAATAGCAGTTAATAATCCCTGATCTTGCCTCCCTTTGTGGCAGGAAACATTTTTCATACACAGGCAGCACATGAGCTTCTCTGCTGACACCAGTCACCGGGGGCTAAGCCGGCAGCAAGGTGCTCCTGGCTGTCAGGCACCGGCACTGATTCCTAAGGGAAGTCAGAAAAAGGAGTATTTTTCCCTAAAAACACCACCCCACACACTCACTTCTCTCTGTTGAAGATGACAAAGTCCTGCTGGATAGCTTCAAGGCATTCCTGGAGATAGTCATTTTCCTATTGAAGAAAAACAAAACACGCATAAGCAGCTCCATTTGCATCTCTTTGCTGCCCAAAGCCCCTAGAGCTCCCAGCTGTGTTCAGGAGCCCCCAGCTGTGTTCAGGAGCCCCCAGCTGTGCTCAGGAGCCCCCAGCTGTGCTCAGGAGCTCCCAGCTGTGCTCAGGAGCCCCCAGCTGTGTTCAGGAGCTCCCAGCTGTGTTCAGGAGCTCCCAGCTGTGCTCAGGAGCCCCCACCCCCCCAAACCTCAGCCCAACAGCTAGAGGCAGCAGGGCTGGCTGCCATGTGGCTTTCACCAGGGGTTTGTGCCATCCACAGCAGCAGTTTTCCATAAAACACAGATCACACTGCTCCTGACATAACACAGTGCATTTATCCGTGTGTTTGGATTTTGGGAGTGCTGTCAGCCCAAAGGAAGCACAGCCAGAGCCCAGCACACACCCCACAGACACAGGGAGCTGCTGCCTCATGCCAAGGCTCGCGCAGCCCTGGGGCTGTGCGGGGCCAGAGGCCGAGCACACTGGGCTGCCCAGACCTCTGCTGCTCATTTCACTTTCCAAAGTACCTACTACTGTGAAAGTTTGGTCAAACTTCCATAAGAGGAATATGTGGTTGTTGAAATTACTCCAATGGGCAAATGCTTTCATCGATATAAACCCGTGTGTCGCACAGTGTGGCAGTACCAGCTGCAATACCCGCCCAGATCCAGCCTTTTCCCAGCTGGATGTTACCCCAGGCAGCACATACAGACTGGGAGCTGTCTTTGCTGTTATCCCTTGACTTGTTCTTTGCAAGCCTCTTCTTCTTCTTGTGCAGGGGCCTTGACTCCAGAATCATCTCCTCCAGCTCGAAGGTGGGGTCGCAGTGCAGGCGGCCCTTCTGCCAGGACACACGACACGACTCACGTCAGGCACAGCAGAGACTCAGCAATCACTTCCCCCTTAGAAAACCTCTGCTCTCACAGCGGTTCCTCCAGTCTGAGGAGCAGCCCCTGCTCGGGATGGGGACACGGGTCACTGCCACTCACGTTGGGGACGAAGCCCGGCTCCACACGCTTCTCGCACACGTCGCTCCAGACCACGCCGGACAGGTGAGCCGAGGCCTGGATGTGGGCCAGGCAGGAGAAGCGATGCTCAGGATTCACTGTCAGCAGCTGGGGAAGGAAAAACATCGGTAATAAAGCATTGCAGAGAAGGGCTTTCCTGCCAGAGGAGGAACACAAGGCACCCAGCAGCAGCCTGCCTGGGCCAGCTGCAGTGGTTCAGCCATGCCAAGGAGCCTTTCTGCTGTGGGAAATAGATATCTTACTGCAGGAAAAATACCTAAGAAGATGTTGTGCAGGTACCCCAGCGCTCTGGGGGGACGTGGGGGTCCCCTCCCGGCTGCTGGCACATTCCCGGTGAGAGGCTGGATTCCCTGGAAGCCGGGCTGCCCAGCAGATGGCAATGCAAACCTGCCGAACGCACCACCTCTGCCAGCAACGCTGCTCCTCATTAAACTGAATCTAATTATGCAAATTACCCAGCCAGCATTAACTCATTCCGAGGCACTTGATGTCGGCACTGGCTGTATCTTTCCTACACCAAACTCAGCAGTTAATTTTCAGAGTTCTCAAGCAAGCCATAGCTGAAGCAGCTGCCCCAACACATCCCAGCTTTCTCCAGCAGCAGCATGAGGAAAGCAGCAGAGCATTCCATAGAGCTGGGACCCCCCAGCAGCTCTCACAACCCCTGCAGCCCCAAAGGAGCAGGGAGAGGGAGCAGCCAGTGCTGCAGCACAGCAGTGTGCTCCACCTCCCCTGCCATCCCTGCCAGGTGAGGAGAGGCTGGGATGCTGGAAGTCACACTTCTAGCCCAGCTGGGAATCTGACTGTCACACCAAAGCCAGCCTCAAACATCGTGCATCTTATTACAGGGATAATAAACACATAACACACATAATTAATCATGGAGTCCCAGACTGGATTGGGCTGGAAGCTCCTCCAGTGCCACCCCAGCCATGGCAGGGACACCTTCCCCTGTCCCAGCTGCTCCAGCCCCAATGTCCAGCCTGGCCTTGGGCACTGCCAGGGATCCAGGGGCAGCCCCAGCTGCTCTGGGCACCTGTGCCAGGGCCTGCCCACCCTGCCAGGAACAATTCCTGCCCCAAATCCCATCCAGCCCTGCCCTCTGGCACTGGGAGCCATTCCCTGTGTCCTGTCCCTCCATCCCTTGTCCCCAGTCCCTCTCCAGCTCTCCTGGAACCCTGTTAGGCCCTGGAAGGGGCTTTAAGGTCTCACTGGAGCATTTTCTTTTCAGGGTTTAACATCCATAACTCTCACAGCCTCTTTTGTATATTATGATTATTATTACTCTTATTATTCATTGTTTATTAATATGCAGATAATTTTCCAGCTAGTCCTGCCTGCACATTTACTGCCATCCAACCCAAACCCACCCCAGAAGGACAATTCATCCAACAATTCATCCAGCTGCACCCCAGAAGGAGCACTCACCTTCCGCAGCAGCGCGACCATCTCCTTGGACCAGGCTGAGGAGTACTGCACGCTGACCGTGCTGAAGAGCTGCACCAGAGACTCCACGGGGTTGTTGGAGTGGATGTCATACGGCCTCTGGGGACAAGAGCACAAAGGTGAGGAGTCCCCTCTCCCTGTTCAGCCAGAGCACACGATCCGAGGGCCGGGATGGCCGGCGCCCTACCCAGCCCCGCAGCAGCTCGTAGGCCATGATTCCCAGAGACCACCAGTCCACCTCGAAGGAATAGCCCGTCCCGCCGCTCAGGAACGAGTGGAAAATCTCTGGGGCTGAGCAGAAAGGGATAACATGCAACAGGTTATTTGTTGTTCTCTATTCAGCATGTCATGGCAGTCAGTGCACAACGCTCACGGTGGTTTTCCTCCATGGCTGCCCGAGGGGAGGCTGTGTGAGGAGGGGGAACAGCAGCAGCAGCAGCCGTGTGCCTGCCCTCACTGGGAACTGGGAGCTGGCCACCTGCAGGGACAGCCCTCCCAGCACAGCACAGCACAACCATGGGACCCCCAGAGACACCAAGGGCAAGGCTGGAGCCAGAGAGGGAGGGCAGGACGGGGTGGGGAGGGCAGGAGGAGGAGGCTGGGTGGGATGAGAAGGGCAGGGTGGGATGGAGGGGACTGCACAGGATGTAATGCAGAGGATGGGACGGGGTGACATGCCAACCATGATGCCTTCACACTGGGACTTCCCCTTGTCAGACAGTCAGGCTCTGCTGGAGGACTTGGGCACGAGCACCAAGGCCCCACATTACCTGGACACCCCTGCCCCAGGCAGGGCCCGTCGGGCAGCGTGTGCTGAGCACTCAAAACGTGACACAGGCACGAGAGCAGTGATTGTTTCTTACCCATGTATGGCTTTGTCCCAGCCAATGCTGTCGCTCTTTCACCGTCCCTAATGATTGTTGCAATATTAAAATCTGTTAAATGGGCATGACCTTAAATAAAGACACATTTAAAGAAGGGATTAATGGCAGTGCAGTGGCAATGCAGAGTCAGAACACATTTATTTCATAAGCTTCTGCCATCAGACAGGGTAGCACAGACATGGGCAGGTCAGGATCAGATCCTATGGAATAGCCATAAAAGGTTTCCCAGGATTTGGGCTGGCCAGGTGATTAAAGGGTAGGGAGCTTTGGGTGTTGATTTTAAATCACACTTGGAGCTAGCCAGTAACCCCCAGCAGCTTCAGCACTGGCCAAACTGCTCTGGCCAGAAGCTACAGGAGTGAGAAAGACACCAGGGAAACACTATCATAGAACCACAGAATGTTTGGGTTGGAAGGGACTTAAAACATCATCTTGTTCCACACTCCTGGCACGGAGCTTCCACTAGACATGGGTGTTCCAATCACTGCAGCTGCTGAACTGCAATGGCTCCAGGTTCCCAGGGCTGAACTAGGGCTGCCTATCCATGCTGACCACAGCACACCGAACAGGCCAGGTGGGTGATCCTCCCCACCTTAAAAAGCACAGGGATGTTCAGCCAAACATGATCCACCAAAACCAGAGCAGCTTTCCCCACACTTTCCACAGGTAAAAAGATGCCCAGTACCCAGGACTACAAAGAATCTGTCCCTGGAATGAATGAGGGAGCAAACAAAGAGGAGCAGAGCGATCCTACCTTGTTCATCGAGGAGGATGTTGTCGGGTTTTACATCTCTGGGAAAAGAAGGAAGATTACAGCAGATGGAATCTCAGCCAGACCAGGGATGAGACTCAATGACAAAAATCCTGCAATTGTTTATCTATCAAAAATTAGGAACAAATAGAACAAAGATATTCTCACATGAGGCAAGCCCCTTTATAATGGACTAGGAATAGTCTTTTCCTGGGCAACTTGGTGAAAAACTGGAAGCATTAGACTTGTTCAGGCCTCATTCCCAAGGAGAAGGAATAACAATTCTGTGGGTATTTGTGTGAAGCCCTGGATGGCTTTAACACCTGCCCTGAAATGTTCAGCCCCCCGGTGGAGCATCAGACTCGCTGTGAGTGGTGGGGAGCAGGAGCAGCAGGACAGCAGCCCGAGGACAGCAGCAGTGTGGGTTACCTGTGGATGATGTGCTGACTCCGCAGGTAGTCGAGAGCCAGCGCCATCTCACAGATGTAGAGTTTGACCGTCTCCTCACTGAACTGAACGTTCTGCTGCAGGTGATAGCGCAGGTCACCTCCCAGCAGCAGGTCCACCACCATGAACATGTCCTCCTCATCCTGGAAGGAATACCTGCGGGAGTGGGGAGCAGCTGAGCCTCACTAGACTCACAAACCCAGCCAGGCTTTTCCCTCTCCTGATTACACAGCTCCTGGGAGAACTGCACAAGGCCCCACTATGGGCACAGAATCCCAGAAAAGCTCTCTCTGACCACTGAGTCCAGCCATTCCCAGCACTGCCAAGGCCACCAATGACCACATCCCCAGCTGCCACAGCCACGTGGCTTTTAAATCCCTCCAGGGATGGGGACTCTACCACTGCCCCAAGCAGCTGTTCCAGGGCTGGGCAGCCCTTTTGGATAGAAAATTTTCCCCAGTATCCACCCTGAGCCTCCCCTGGCCCAGCCTGAGCCCGTTCCCTCTCCTCCTGTCCCTTTTCCTGGGAGCAGATCCCAAATCCCCCCGGCTGTCCCCTCCTGCCAGGGACTTGTGCAGAGCCAGAAATTCCCCCTGAGCCTCCTTTGCTCCAGCCTGAGCCCCTTCCCAGCTCCCTCAGGAATTCTCCAGCCCCTTCCCAGCTCCCTCAGGAATTCTCCAGCCCCTTCCCAGCCCCATTCCCTGCCCTGAACATGCTCCAGCCCCTCCAGGTCCTTGCAGTGATGGGCCCAAAACTGAAGATGCAGCTTTGCTGCTTGCACCTTCACAATCAAGCAAGTCCAGCTCAAGATGCTCGCTTGTTTTTCAAATCAATTCCTCCACTAAGCAATGCTTCCCTGGAAAGATGAGTATCCCAGGTAATGTCCCCCTGCTCACCCCATCCCTGAGCAGCTGTGCCATGTCAGCCCAGCAGCACAGAGCTCAGGCTCTGCCAGCCAGACACTTCAGAGAAACTTCACATTTTCAACTGCAAACAATCTCATAAAACCTACTTAAAATATCTCACCCTATCTTGAAGATGAATTGGAAAACACAACTGCTAATTTAACCAGATAAACCAGAAAAAGAGATTTATATTTACTATGGAGTAAACCGCCTCTCTAAATCTGCCGTGGGTCCCACGGGAGACTGACAGCAGTGGGGATACACCAAAACAACGCTCATTGTTATATTTGGTGACTGTAGTTCCAAGGAAAGAGTATGTGGGATTGTATAATACTCATGAATCACTCACTTCTGCTCCCATCTTAAATATAGGTTTATTCTAAAACTATGAGCCGAAAGGGTTTGCTGCGGGAGCAAGTTCTCCCCAGAACTTCATTGCTTGTTGGGAAAAACACTCACAATTGCTAAGAAACTGAAAAATATCAATATTAACTCTACTGGCTATCCTGGAGCAATGGATCAACAAAATAAATGTGACACATCACCCACTTCCATCTCTTTGGGTATAAAACTTCCTCAGTTTTCAGAAGTGTCCCCCTCCCCACCAGCCTGGCACACATCCAGCACTGCTGGAGTGGGAGGGGACCCTTCAGTGGGCAGCAAGGCTGAGGAAGGACAGATCATCACCTGGAGCAGCAGGTGCCAAGGCCTAGGGCTCACCCCCAACTAACCAATGACCTTAGGGTATAATGCTCTACTTCCTAAAACTGTGAATTAGTTTTTCCTGTAAAATTTGGTAATGATGTGTCTGAGCCCCAAAGGAACGTGTTTCATTTGGCCAGCGAGCGTGGTGCAGAGCACACCAAGGGATGCTGCTGGGCTGAGGGGTCGGTGTGGCGGTAGGGCAGGTGAGACAGACTGCAGCCTTTGCTGCTGGCACTGCCTGGACAGGACACATTTCACAGGCATCGATGACTCAAGCTATTTGTTAGACTACAACCTGATTTTAAGAGTGGTTTTTAAAATTAGACCCTAAAACGTTGCTCAGTAATGAGGTTACTTCTGCCAGTGCACACACAGTGAAGTCATTATTGAGCAACTGGAAATGTCACTCCTTGCAGTGATCTGCTGCTGAAAATGTTATGGGAGCCCTTGGAATTATCAGGTGTGTGGCTGTATAAGCACTGGAGGCACAGGGGAGGGAGCTGCTCACCAGAGATTCACCAGGAAGACGTGCTCGATCTCCTGCAGGATCTCCAGCTCTCTGAAGACGTTGCGCACCTCGTCCCTCTCGATGCACTGCTGCTTGTTCATGTACTTCATGGCGTACATCTTCTCCGTGTCCCTCTTCTGCACGATGCACACCTGGGGCGGGGAGGAGAAAACCGTCAGGAACGCGTTCCACATCCTCACCCGCTGCTTTGGGAGCCCAGACTCGCTCTGCTCGGCCCCTCAGCCCCCCGAACACCCCCGATCGCCAGGCTGAGGCTTGGCAGCTGGGGACAGCCAGCAGCATCCCCGCTCCCAGCGCCGGGCCCGGCTGGGGGAGCAGCGCTTTGCTCCGGCCCGCAGCCGGCTGCAGGGCACCAGGGGCACGGACAGCGTTCCGGAGGGACAGCTTTTCCTACAGTCGTGTCTGGGAGCTGTGCGGGTGTGCTGGCTCTGCATGGAGAGCGGCGTCAGGCACACACAGGGTTCCCTTCCAGCCCCGTGTCCCGCTGCTGCCCAGGGAGGGTTTCACTGCCCCGCACATCCCCGTGCTCGGGAAGGGGGAAAAAAACCCCTTTGGGTCCGCAGAAAGCGACTGAAATGCGAATGTGTGACAAGAAGGAACCCGGGGCCAGGGGGGATACCCCGGACAGAGCCCGGAGCACGCTGGGGGCCCTGGCTGCCTCCTCAGCTCCGCTAATGACACCTTAATTACCAAGGTGACTGCTTGTAAAAGAGCTAATTAGCTCTCACGGTGACTATTTTTAAATGAACTAATGGCGTGTCTATATGTGCTGTAATGATGTGTGCCCTCTGCTCATTATCAGACACGCCGCTAATGAGGATGAGCCGTTCATGGGCAGGGAGCGGGCCCCGCTCAGCCCGTGCCGAACCAGCAAAGGGAATTTCTGCGGATTTCAGGGAACCGCAGCCGGCTGGGAGCCTGGATAATAACCATCTGCAAGTGCTAATGGTGCTCGCTACAATATCATCAAGGACACGCTGCCGCAAGGAGGTGACAAAATAATGGGTGGTTATCGTTAGCCTGATAAACCCCCCAATTAGCGATGCACAGGAATTACCAGGATTGTTTTCCGCCGTCGTTACAATTACGGTGAGAGCTGAAAATCAGCTGTTGCCGTAACTCTCTGCACACCCCAGAGCTCACGGTAAGGGCACCTCGTGGGCAGAGTGACCTGAGCTGCTTCCCTGCGTCTGGACCCCTCCGGTGCCCATGGGCGAGCAGAGCCCATCAGCTCCGGCTGCCAGGGACCGTTCCAGGTACAAAACATAAGGGAAAACCTTCTTTGTGCAAACTTAATAATAATAATAAACCACCTACAGCAATGCACGCCACCAGCAGGATCCAGCCCCTGCCTAGAGCAGGCTGAATTGGTTGTACATTCAATAACCAGGCAAAAATAACTTTAAATTTTATAAATTCTTTGAGCAAGGGCAAAGCCCTAACAATTTGCCTTTAAAATTATGGTCATTGTTGTAGAACTGCTCTGAAAACAATCCTCTGGGTAACAGCCATCAAGTCACGGAGCAACATTCTCTCCTGATGTCAGTTTATTCCACATTATTGCTGGAGGCTCATTAATTTCTAGGTGGCTTATACTTTAGGTTGTGACTGTTGTACCTTAATGAGTATTGCATGTTATTCTGGTGTCATTTGTCTCTTGTTTCTCCACAGTGAAAATGGAAGCCCAGCATAATAAATGAGAATATGATGAAAACTTCATGTACTCTGTAATTATGATAAACAGTTTTCTGCAATGGAACAGCATCACCTCCACACACAGCAGCACCAGCTCCAGGCCCTCTGGAAATGTTTGTTCTCTGATTTCTTGGGGGAGAAGTGGATGTCAGTGGTGAGGCCCTTCCTGCAGCCCGTGGCACGAGCAGGGGCTGAGGGCACAGTGAGCCCCACAGCCGATGGTCAGGAGCGCTGTGTCCACAGCAGCAGCTCCTGACCACACCACACCGCTCTCAGCCGGGGTCTGACTCAAATCAAACCAACACCAGAACCCGTGCTGGGCTCAGCCACTCGGTGCCCCTGGCACAGGCAGAGACCATTCCTAACGCCCCTCTTTACAGAAATGCATCAATGTGTCTGTGTCCCCCCAAAATGTCAGTGACACAAGACACATCTTTATCTTTTTGTGCTTCTCCATTCGTGCATCTGTTCCTGGGGAAGGAATAAACATCTCTTTGGTAACAAGTCAAGAGTGCATTTTTCAATTAATCCATTTTCAGGCGAGTCCACAATGCAGAGCAGGGCAAGAAGCAGAAATGACTCTGTCCTCATTCTTGACAATGCAGCTACACAAAGGGAATGTTTGGTGGATAAATGCAGCCATTAGGAAAAGGAGTGGAAGGGAGCCAGCCCTGCGAGGCAGAAGGCGGGCGGCAGCTGGGAGTGGATTGCCCAAGACATGGCACAGAAAAGCTTCCCCAGAGCCCCAGATACCCCCAGCATTCTCGAGCAGCTGCCCATCCTGCAGGGACAGCTGGAGATCCCCACGATTCCAGCCAGGACACGGCATGGGACACCTGCCAGGCCCACTCCAGCCCACGGGCCGAGACAGGGACAGCACCTGGACTGTGACAGGGACAGCACCTGGACTGTGACAGGGACAGCACCTGTGCTGTGACAGGGACATCTGTACTGTGACAGGGACATCTGTACTGTGACAGGGACAGCACCTGTGCTGTGACAGGGACATCTGTACTGTGACAGGGACATCTGTACTGTGACAGGGACAGCACCTGGACTGTGACAGGGACATCTGTACTGTGACAGGGACAGCACCTGTGCTGAGACAGGGACATCTGTACTGTGACAGGGACAGCACCTGGACTGTGACAGGGACATCTGTACTGTGACAGGGACAGCACCTGTGCTGTGACAGTAACAACACCTGTACTGTCACCCCAGCTGGCAGCCCATCTCAATCCCTACATTTCCCAGCCTGGTGCAATGCCTCAAGCGGGCTCTGCCTTTTCTCCTTTAGAAATCCAAGAACTTTTTGCCCTGCTGATTCTGAAGGAATCCATCAGGCTGAAATCCCACTCAGTGAGAGGTCACCTAATCAGACCTGTGTTAGTCAGGGGCAGCACAGCTTTCCTGGGCTCAAACAAAGCCAGTGGCTGCATTCTGGGCAGGATCCATGCATGTGGGGCTCGCTCTGCCTCGGCTGCACATGGACATTGTTTCCTCCTGCAGTTGCAGAGCTCACCCAAAGTGAAGGTACTGGTGACCCCCTGCGGGATGTCACCGTCAGGGCTGGTGCACAAACCCACAGCTGACTCAGGGATCTGTCTTCAGGTCTGAACTGGGAACAGTGGCTTTCCTTCTTGAATTTCTCCTCCTTTGGCTTCTGCCTGTGTAAGACAAGCCCAATGCCCTGTAATCCTTCCACACACAGCCACTGCTGACTGCGGCTCAGAGCCACGGGGACATTTCAGCCTACAAGCCTGGATTTCACTCTTTTTGTTTTCAGAGCAGAGTCAAGGCTTAGAGTCAGCCAACACTACACACCTCCATCAAACACCTTAATCCCACCCAGCTCTGAACCGTGGCCAGGCACTGCTCTGGTTTATAAAAATGCTTATTTGCAGTGGTTGCACCTTGCCCACACATTGATTTCCCCTCCAGCTTCTGCCGGGTATTTATGCCTCCCGTTTTCCTCAATATCTATAGAACTGCCATTTACCAGAAAGGTTGAAATTTGAAATGCAGAGCATTAACATGAAATTGCCCATGGCAGCCAGAAACATCAGCAGGCTCTGGGACTGCGTGGGGAAAGGAGTCTCTGCTGTGGGGGAAGCACGGCAGCAGCCTCAGGGGGTGCTGGGGAAATGGGACATTTGCAGCCTCTGGAAGAACTAAGTCTGTCATTCTGAAGGACCAGAAGCAGTGGGAAGGCACTCACCTTGATGTAGAAACAGCTCAAGCTTTTTTGACAGCTGATTTCATTTTTGAACACTAAATTTTACTTTGGAGACAGACTGCAAGGGCCAGGACAGGCTGCACAGTTGTGTTCACCGGCTTCCTGAGCTTGTTGAGCAAAGAGTAAAGCAGGTGAGAGGGGCTTCACTGCACCTATGCACTGCTGAAAGGATAACCTCAATATTGACTTCTAACAAGTTCATCTCCTTTAGCCAAGTTCTCCTTGAACGGATCAACTCTTATACCAAGACATAATTCCCTTTTCCCAGGGTTTCCATCATTTAGGAAGTGGCTGGAGGGAAATCCCTGTCACCCAGCATCCCTAGGACCCCTCTGCTTTGCTCTTGTACCAAGAACTGCACACAGAATCTTGCCAATTATCTATTAATAAATAAATAAATGAAATCATTTAAACTCTCAGCTGCTGTCAGGAAAGCTGCAAACAAGGATCACTCTGTTCTGGACACGGCCACAGCTGCACAGGACACAGAACTGCTTCCCCTGGCATTCAAATGCATCTGTGTATCCATCCTGTATTATGATAGTGCCATTGAATTGAAATTGAATTGAAATTGAAATACAACCCTTCCCTGGTAATTAGCATCTTGAAATACTGGTAATCAAAAAGTTCATAATCATTTGTTCTACAATCCTCACAAATATTAAGGATAAAATTGGCTGATCAATTTTTTTTAGGCATAGCCAAGAGAACAAAGCCTAAAGCTGCCTGGCAGTTTTATCTGCAGTGACAATTCAGACAATTCAGGGTTCCCTGAGCACGGGAACCGCAGGAACAGCCGGATGAAACATCTCCCACAGGTACCCCAGGAGCAGCTCCCCTGCACCAGCAGCCCCCAATGGGCACACAGCCCCTCAGGGATGCTGCTGGTCCCTGGGAAGGGCTCCTCCTGCACAATGCTGACCCACAGCTTGGTGCCACGAGCACCAGGGACTGAAGCTGAAGGCTGCCAGCACCTGCAGGAGCCTGTGCAGCCCCTCTCCATCCCTTCAGGGCTGCTCCTGGGAGGGAGCTCTGGGCACGGCAGATCCTGTCAGACCCTCAGTGGGAAGGGGTCTGGTAACAGCCAGAGTGACCCGTGGCACCAGCTCCTGGGCCGGGGCTGCAGCTGCACACAACCTGCCCGTGCCAGTGACACTCGGCCCAGCGAGGACACGGAACCCAAACTCCCTCTGATCCTCA